ACTTCTGGGTTTTTTAACAGTTTATTTTTGTTGCTTACACTTCATTCAAGCGTAACAGTTTGCAAATATACTTGTAATTATGTAGTTATTCTTCTTCTTTTCTAAACTTAGCAACATTCAAGTCAATATTCGTTTAAAGGAAGCGATAAAATTTCGCTTCCGTTTTGTGGTGGGTGTATGATGTTCATTAACAAGGCTATAAAATATTGTATGTAAATACATATGTATATACAAACATACTTGTATATATAATGCAAACATACTTGAGGGCATACATAAATATATACATATGTATATGTATGTGAACCATATGGTCCAGTGGAGTAATCCAAAAAATACTCCTCAGTAGTGTACTATTGTGCCAAGTCTAGCTCCAGCTGATTGTTAGCCGATGATTGCTCGTCTGTTTTAACGATCGCAATTTCTAAACGAAGTTGCAAATGCTTGCATACTCGTATATAGAAAATACATATGTATATGAAATGGTAAGCTTTGCTGCGCTGCTATACAAACGGCGTGCTAATATTTGGGTAAATCGGAGATTGAAATATGTTATATATTTGGTGTAGTAAAAAGAAATCAACTATTTTGAAATAGACGCCGTTATGTATCTGTTTGTCGCGTTGTATTAGTCCAATTGGGTTCTGCTGGATGGCATTCGAAAGATGGCATGTCGTACGATAAGGGCGAAAACGCAAGCCAGGCGGCTATAAGTGCGAATAGCGTTTATGGTCCTGATACTGATCCTGTTACAGTCAATCATGCACAATTTCGGTTTAATTCTGGTAATATTGATGTAAAAGATGCTTCAAAGAGTGGAAGGAAAATTGCCGAAAATGTCGATAAAACCATGGACATTGTCGAAACCGATCGTCACGTAAGCACTGTTTCGATTGCCCTAGAGCTGGAAATTGCACTAAAAGCCGTTTGGAACCATTTAAATAAGACTGAATGCGAAAAGTAAAGAAAAAAAGACTTCAATTTTATTCAAAAATAATGGATTTCTTTTTACCACAGCAATATTTATTGGTAATAAATTCTTACAATTAATATAAGTTCTCATATACACTCGGCAGAAAAAGTCTGCGTACAAGGTAACTAAGTCGATAATGGCATTCTTTTTCCAAATTCCACTTAAAATTTAATAGGAAGTCGAATATCCTCTACGTTTTAAAACTTCCGCTAGGCGTTTTGGCATGGAATCAATCAGTTCAAAGGTTTCTATCGAAGAGATTTGATCCCATTCCCCGTGCAGTACATCTTTAAGCATAGCCTTTGAGATAATTGTGCGTTGGCGGATATTATTTTCCAGTAAATCCCGTAGGTGCTCTATAGAATTTAAATCCGGTGACTGTGGTGGTGTTCGAAGCGGCTTGGGAACGTTGTAGAGCTACCACATCTTCACTAACTCCGCTGTATGCTTCGAGTCGTTATCTTGTTGAAAGTAGTAGTCACTTTCTAAACCCGATTCTTCAGCGCTTGGCTTCAAATTTCTTTTTCAAAATATTAAGACATGCATATTTGTCCTTGGTGGACTCTATAAATTCCATTCTGCCCACACCATTTCTGGCCACGCACCCCCATATCATTGCTCCACCACCTCCATTCTTCACAGTGGGCATCAAGTTTTCCTTATCGAGACCTGTGTCCAGTTTTCGCCATACAATCTTACGCCCTTTGATTCCGAAGACGCAAAACTTGTTCTCGTCGGAAAAATAACCTTCTTCCAGAACTCCCGAGGCTTTCTTTCACGAAAGCAATACATTTGTGACTATTGACTCGCGGTATTAATAGCTTTTTGCGTGCGAAATGGCCGTGATACCCTGCTTTTTTTTAAATTTTGCGGATGATGTCAGCAGAGGGTCTTCTAGAAATTTTCCTTAATATTTTGGGCGATTTTAGATGCTGAAAGTCGGCGGTTTTGTTTCACACTCTCTAAAACGTAAGGAGTTTCACGCTGTGTTAATAATTTTGGCCGCCCTTGACGGGACCGAAAAACAAAAATGCTGGTATCTTTGTGATTTGCTATCACCCTTTGGATGGTAGAATATGTACTTCTAACAATCCAACCAATTCAACGGTATGTTTTTCTCTTTTCGAAAGGTTTAACTATAATTTCTCTTTCAGAAGAGCTTATTTCTTCTCCATTGGACGACATTGCTATTATACATTTAATAACAAGCAGAATCGATTTGAAATCTTTTAAAATTACTATTTTTATGAAAAAAAGTAAAATTATAATTTTCTGACACTATCGGACTTGGTTATAACGCGGGGAATACCCTTTTTACCACTTGTACGCCAACTTTTTCTGCGCTGCCAAGTGGGTATTTTTCGTAAATTCAACAATAAATCAATGTTGCCAAATTTTAAATTGTTTTAAGTGCTATTATGCAATAGACAAGCAGTAAGCCACAGGCAATGTGATTTCACTCTGAAATTTTTTATGCAAAAGTTGCTTTTTAACAAAAGAAATTAAGCCTTTAGGGGGTACGCAGACTTTTGCTGCCGAGTGTATATATAACCTTATGTTTGTTTGTAAAGAATCGCCATCACGAAACCTCGAGAAAGATGTTCGGTTTCTGGAAAGGTTTATACGAATCGTTTCGGAACTGAGATATTTAAAAAAATCGTATTTGCGGTTCGATTTATTTGAAGCTCAGTACACATCTGGGTGGATTTTTGTTAAGATAAGCAGGTAGACTTCTCTTCTCTCCAGGAAATGGACTGATCTACAAAAAAAGTTTTTATTTAGTTCGATTTACTTAAAATTGGGCGCATAAATGGCTTTTTGCTTAGATTAACAAGGTATTGGATAAGAGGCCGACTTATTCGAGAAGATCGTTCTCGTAATTCCTTATACTGGAATTCCTTTTTAAAGGGAAGACTAATCTATGTGAAAAAATATATGTACATATTCATGATTCAGTTCGGCTGAATTTTTGGTTGATACTCTTGTTTCTTGAAATTGGACACAAGCCCAGGGACCAGGTACTCAGCTCGATTTTCTCCAAATATATGAATTGAAAATTTGATTGATTGATGATGTACGAAGAAGAAAGCCACTCATCCAAATGACCAGGTCGCCCATTAGATATATAACTAGCGCTTTGTAACCGCTAAAGCGATTTTTCGGCCGAGCTCCTCCTCCAATTTGTTGTTTTGCGTCTTGATGTTTTTCCAACAAATGGATTGACCTACATTTTATACTAAACCGTCTCCGAACGGCTGATGGGTTTTTTATGTGGAGCTTTTATTTCATGTCAGAAATACACTCGGAGGGGTGGAAATTATCTGCAGAGAGGTGACCTATTTATTAGCGTAATAAAAAACTTAATATTTTGGGGGGGAGTCCTTCAAGGCTCATTACTTGAGAAATAATTCATAGTTCGCTGAAGGGTCTGAGGCAGTCAGTGGTGACAGCTTCCATAGTGCGAGGCAGCTTGTACGCCTTTTCGTTGCTTTCTACATCTACGAGTATGTGATCGGGGGCATAAGTAATATTCACTGTGCTCACACAGCATGTTCAGTAATGCGCACAATATATGCTTGGAAGACAGAGTTCCAGTTATTGAGACTGAATCTACCTTGATTAATGGTGTCATCCCCTGATCCACCCATTTTTCATTGTTTGGCAAGGAGTAGGTGGCTTGCACCTAAAAGAAAGCTTCCTTTTCACGATGACTTGATGAAGATGAAACTTGGGTACATCATTACGAACCTGATTCGATACAAGACTCCATGCAGTAGAGCTGAAGATTAAAAAATGCATCACCGATGATGAAGTCAAGAAGGCTGTTTCGGGATATTTTAAAGATAGACAGAAACATTTTTTGAGGGAATATAAAGAATTAATTGAAAGATCTGAAAAATGTCACCGTCTTGCCAACATAGAAACGTTCCCTCCTAAAATACAGTGACACAGCATAAGTTAAGTAAAAGGTCATACATTATTTTTGCAATAGACGACTTTCGTGATGTGTATCTATAAGATGTTTCGATTGCCCATGAACTAAACGTTAGAAAAAGACTAGATTCACAAAGAACCTTCACATGAGTTAACGAAAAAAAATTTGTTGAACCGAATTTCAATCTGCGAAATCGTAACAAAATCAAGCCATTTCTGAAGCTGATAGTTGCTGGTGATGGTATGTGGATTACTTATAGCAAACTCAAATGAAAACGGTCGAATGTCAGTGAGCCGACACAAAGGGTTTCGAGACCACGATTGAAAGCTAGGAAAGTTTTGTTGTGTACTTCGTTACAAGGTAACATGCGCTCTCTTGCGCCCAAACCCTTAATTCGTACATCTGAAGGAAGCAATCGTCCGAAGAAGTTCAACTTTGAACAACAGGAAGGGAATTGTGTTTTCTCGGGGCAACGCCAGATCACAGACATATCAATAGCGACTCACCTTAGGAGGTTCTAATGCATCCACCTTGTAGACCGGATCTCGCACCAAATGATTTCTAACTGTTCCTGTCGATGGCGAAGGATTTGGCTGGTGAAAAATCGTCCTCAAGAGAGCCCTGTGAAATTCGATCGTCCCAATATTTTGCATAAAGCAACAAAGGTTTCTATGAGAGAGGAAACGCAAAAATAATGGATGCCTTTTTACTTGAGCAATATGTAGAGTTTTATCTTGGGTTATTTTCGAAATTTCATACGGATCTGCCAGGGATTACCTTAAGAGTGAAACGATTTCTCTAGACTTGCTTGCGCCTTCACTAATGCATAAAACAGATAAAATATCTAAGTTTCTGCCGTATTCCTAAAAGTAATAATAATAATTATAATAATAATAACAAGAACAACAGCAACAACAACAGCATTAGCACCGAAATGAGTTCAGGCGATTAAGGCATCTGCGTTGTTTACTTCACACTTTTATCGCTAATCATCAACCACAATAACAACAACAACAGCAGCAACAAATCGCGAGATAACAAAACCGCATTTACCGCATTCACCGCATTCACCGCAAACATCTTTTCTTTTAGAATTTTCGTAGATCTCATAAAACGCCCCAGTGGAGTGCGTACAACGTCTACGGTCTCCGGTGTACGAGGCATATAAAGTTTATGCGATTTGCGAAAAGAAAACTCACACTACACTTTGCCTTAATTGCGGAAAAGTGATTTGTTTCGTGCCGGCAGTGCGGGCGCGTGCATGTGTGGGTGTGCGTTAAGTGCAGTCAGTGCCAATCTGCATGCAGGGCATACACTGTGTGATAGGTACTCGTTTAACTTTATGAATATTTTCAACGAGCAACAACAGCAATAACAACAATAGCAACTATATTAGAAACAATACGCAAAAGGCAAAGTCGGAGCGTAGCATTCCTACTAAGATGACGACAGCTAAATGGATATGGCGATTGGCGTTGAGCATTCTAGGTGAGTAGCCGCATTGTATTCGTATGTATATATACACGTATGTTTGTATATACTCGTATGTTGTAAGCAGGCTGAGATTGCTTATAACAATTATACGAGTATATGCACATTCATACATATAAGTATATACAAAACGCTTACGTACTCGATTAAATAATAAAAACAAATATATATATATATTAATGAACTCATTTAATTGCTGCCCCTTTTAGAAATATGTTAATGTAATCCATGCATTCTTGGCAAAATAAAAATATTAAAAATGATGAAAATTAAAAAATTATAAAAACGCAAACTTATTGTTGGCATCGATGTGGAGGAATTATGCTACTTTTTAGACTTTTTGCTTTCGATCACTTGGCATGTTAAACGCTTTTGAATTGAAATATTTTACAAATGGTCTTGAGTGCAAAACTCTTACAATAAATACACATATTTTTACAAGTTTATTGCTTTCCACAGAAACCTTCTGGGTATTTCCATTAGTACATTTTCAAAAAAATTAATTAAAAAAAAAAAATAGGTTGGATCATACCAAAGAGACAACATAATTTTCTTTGGTTTTTTGCGTCATGTAAAGAATATTGCTCAGTCAATTTAGACCTTGGATTTAATTTCGATCTTAAATAGTTTCAAATATTTCCGTCGTCTGCTGTATAGGTCAAGCCTCCATAGGAAAGGGTTATACGACATTTTTTCGGGAAGTCCACCAGGGACTGACCTTTTCGAAAATAACTTATTTATGGTTCGATTTATTTGAAATTTGACTTTTGCATAGTATGTTGTTGAAATATTGCAACATATTTATGGGAATACAAACGAATTTGAGCCATTTTTAAAGTGACCAAAAAGTATTTTTTTTTTATTGAAAAGGAAAAAAAATATATTATTCAAAGTATTGTCTGGCAGCAGCGACTACTTTTTGTGATCTCTCCCACATTTCCCGAATATATAATTGCCGCTTTGTGACCGCTGAAGCGATTTTCTGCTGAGCTCATTCTTCTCCGAGCTCCAATTTGTGGTTTTGCTTCTTAATGTTTTTCCAACAAATGGAGGAGCTTACAGTAAGCCGCTTTCGAACGGCTAATGGTTTTTTATGAAGAGCCTTTATTACATGTCCGAAACACACTCGGAAGGGTTGACATTCTCTGAACCTTCAAAATGTATTCTACCAATAAAGTACAGCCTAAAAATATTCGATAGATTTTTAAGAAAATATCGATATGTAAAATCGTCCAACTTCTAAAGCTTTTGGTAATATTTTAAGGAAATTTGAAGAGACCGGATCGGTTACTCTATACTGTTAGGCCTGTATATCATCGTTTTGTTCGTTCCACCTCCAATAACGCTGCTGTTAGTGAAAGTGTAGTCGAATTTCAAAATGTGTCTATTTCTCGACTTTCTTAAGAGCTTTTTAAACTTATATTCATATAAACTCCAGCTTACACAACAAATGAAGCCAAATATTATAATTGAAAATAGGCCTATACACCCAAAGAACATAATGTCTGGTCCGCTCTTCTCAGAAAACTACAACAATGAGGCTGCCACCGCCAATTCGGCGCATTATGCTCGTATGAAAACCGACTTTTTTTTGGTCTGGAATTGAAGAATACGACTTGGAAAATATGTGGTCTCAATAAGATGGTGCCTCATGCCATACAACACGAGCGAATATGGCTTTATTTGCAAGAGAAATTTCCCGGCCGCGTAATATTTGCTCTTGGCGATTCCAATTGGACACCGAGATTGTACGATTTGACTCCTTTAGGTTTTTTTTTTAGCGCTACGCGAATAAATCGGATAAACCTTTAACTCTTTAGCACTTGAAAACCCTTGGCTGAGATACAGTCCGATATGCGCCCGAAGTGGTCGAAATTTACCTCAAACGGATCGAAGTGTGCGAAAATTCGCAAGGCGGTCGTTTGAACGATGTTTTGTCCCATATATACATAGGTTCAAAGTTAAAAAAAGAAAATCTAGTCAAAAATTATTTTACAAGTATTTTATTTACGTTTCTATTTCAAACTACAAAATAGATAACCTTGGGTCGAAAACATATACCCCTCCCAGATCGGATCTCTATAGCATATAACGAGCGGTTTTTCAAAATTCAGATCTAAGACCATAAAATTTGGAAATCTTTACACATACAAAGGATTAAATATTGGGGATGAAAATAATTGAAATCGGAAAATAATTTCAGATATGAGAACTAATATTTAACCCCAAAATAAATCTGAAAGATTTTCTCAATCTCTCAATAATAAATATTAAAATTTTTCCAAAAAAATCTCTTTAGTCACAGTTTTTATTTTTACTCAGCCAACGTCACGATTCTTATACATCCATATGTACATATTTGCATGATTAATAATTTCGTTTCGGTTTTTTAGTTTTAACGGTAATTTCATAAATTTTTCATCAGCGTGAGCAAGACTATGCGCTCATTTAACAATAACATAAACTATTTAGCATTATTTCCACAAAGTCTCTTCCGAAAATCTTTGTTTTAGCCTTTTGACAATAAATCAAGCGTTTATGCTCGGCGGCTGTCGTCAGCGTTGTGAAAAGCAGTCGAGTGTGCGGTGCGTATCTAATAATTAAGATTAGCAGCGTCTTCAATGGCCGATGTAATGGTGCGATGCGTGTGTGTCGGAGCCGCCATGTGTTTTCAATTGAAATGAAATTATTGTTTTTGGCCATGAAATTCGGCGTAAAAGCCTTTCAATTCGCCGGTTGATTGCTGATTTAATCTCAATGTGATTGTTTGAGGTGTTTTTGTGAATAGTTTTGGGAGAGATACATAGAATATAAATATCAAGGGTGATTTTTTAGATATCATTTTTTTTTTGCAACACTGGTTTAAACAGCTGACGCACGTTTCGTGTTTTCTACCGCTGTCAAACGTCTTCAGTTTGATCTATATTTTAACCCTGAATCGTCTGAAAAACGAACAACAAATTATTGAATTTTATTATCAAAATAAAGCCGAACGACCTACCGCAATGCAGAATTTTGGGTGAATGATCGGAGTGGAGAGAAGAGGCCGAAGATCCACTTTTTTTTAACGAAAAATTGTGTTCAGCAACTAAACTCATTTTTGGCTTAATGTGAAAATAAGCAGAATTGTCGATTTTGGAGTGAAGCTCAGTCAGAAGTATTGCAAGAGCTACCAATGCATGCAGAAAACGTCACAGTTTGGTGCGGTTTATGGGCTGGTGGCATCATTGGACGGTACTTCTTTAAAGATGATGCGAATCGTAACGTTACTGCGTATGGTGAGCGCTAGCGTGAGATGATATCAAACCTTTTTTTTGCCCAAAAAGCAAGAGCTCGACTTGCATGACATGTGGTTTCAACGAGACGGTGCCATATGGAATTATTGAGAGGCGGGTTCGGCGAACATTTTATTTTACGTTCGGGACCGGTCAGTTGGCCGCCTAAATCGTGCAGTTTAACGCCTTTAGACTTATTTTTTGTGGGGCTATATTAAACCTTATGTCTACACAGACAAACCCGCTTCAATTGACGCAGTGGAGGATAACATTGAAGCATTTGTTCATAAGATACCGGCCGAAATGGTGGAAAGAGTAAGCCAAAATTAGACTAAGCGGATGGAACATTTGAGGCGCAGTCACGATCAACATTTGCATGAAATAATCTTTGATTATTAAATTATATGGACAGTACCTTCGATTCAATTAAATTTTTCATTAGTTTTTCTGAATTTCAGGTGTTTTTTATAGAAAAATTTTCCTATAGCTCCTAAAAAATCCTCTTTTATACTTATTAAAAGACATACACTCGTAACACTTTTGACAGGCCTCATTTGATGCTTATGGGGCGAAAATTAATTTTCTATTATTTTATTTATTTGTTCGAGCCCTGATCTTCCGAATAGCAGTACGCACTGCTTACAACTCGGCCGTTATTACTTAAATGTATGTGTAATTTTTTATGACCAAAAACTCGTTTAATAACCGTATTCCCTGGATCTCGTTCCAAGCGACTTTTTTCATTTCCAAAACTCTATTTACCACTCCGTTATACCCGTTTCGACTTGATTAAGGATGTAAAAGACAATTCGCACATGGAACTGACTAATCCCTACAGCAACTGAAAACAAACTGGTTGACAGATCGCGCTCCTTTGTGGCATAGTAATGAAGGACAGTGTTGACACTTTAACAAAAAATGTTCAGCACTGGCAGTTTAAATGACAATTTCCGGGAACTTAATGTATACGGGTGTGTATGTTTTTTTGCTTGGTTTTGCAAATTAAAGAAATGCTGAAATAAATATAAACTTTATTCATTAATTATGGCTAAATATAATATGTTAGACTTCATAAAATATTCTAGTTTGATAAAATAAATAAAAAAAGCAAGAAAGGAAAGCCACTTTCAGCCATGCCGAAGTGTTTATGCCCTACATGACCATTTCAAATTTATGGTCATTAATTTTTTATATTAAATATTAATTCTCATATCTGAAAAATCGGTTGGAAGCAGCTATGTATTTGATTTGTAGAAAAAAGAAACATTTTCAAGCAATTAGATGCTTTTTAAGGAGTTTTGACCATCGCCTCATATCTGGAAGAATCAGTGTATGGGACCTATGAATATGTTGTAGTCGTCCGACTTCGATAACTTTCAGCAAAAATATATTATTAATCATAGGTGCATAGAAAATTTGTTGTATATATGCTGTAGTTACACGATCCGGTCGCTTGCTTGGGTCTACCTCTTCTCCTTCTGGTACTTACATACTACGGTCCAAAGTTAATATTTATGTAATTTCATGTACAAAAAAGGCATAAAAATGTATTATGAAATATTCGCAACAGCTGTGCAGATTTAGTGCAAGAAATAAAAATACCAATACATACATATGTATGCACATTTGTGTATTAATGAACTCTCAAAAATTGTGACCGTTAGCATTTCTCTAGTTTTTGGCAAACATTTCCAATTTGCACACCTCATAGATATTTCGAATTTTCGGCATTTGAAACATTTCGCTAAATTCTATGGACATTTTGACCTTCAGCAGACAAAATGCCGACACATTCAATTAACATATCTTTTAACAGTGATATATGAATATGTTTTTCTGAATTGTGACAAAATATCATTTCTTCTTTTATGTAAAAGAGTAAGGCGTGGGAAAATATATTTATAATATTTGTAAAATTATATTATTTTTTTGCTTGCTGTGGAGTCTTGTCTTGTCAGCTTGTGATCGGAATGTGTGATTGCTTATGGTGTCAACGGTGAAATTGATCATCATTTACAAAGCAAGATCTCATTTGAAGGCAAATCCTTTTTAATTGTGCTCTCAATCACCGATGCTTAAGTGACACATTCACGTTTCTTCTAACACATAAACCGAAACCGAATTATAATACGGGATATTTTAAGGACGTTTATATTCAATTAAAGAACGTTTACTTTTTCTAATTTCACTTTTTGTGTAAAATGTGATTTTTTCAAGCATTATTAAATGTGATTTTCTTCAACAAAAAAAAAAAAAAGAAAAAAACACGATGCCAAACATTTTAATACTTAAAAAATATTTAATGCAAATGTGGCTGCGGGTCCAACATATCGACCGGCATTCAACGAATAAATAGTTTCGGCTTTCATTGCGTCTTCTGTCACGTTTTTGTCAATATAGACATGTCCCCCACCTTTACCGCACCAAAACTAGTATTAAGGAGTTAAAATACACGATCTAGGCGGCCAATTGACTTGTCCCAAACATGAAACAAACTGCTCACTGAGTTTATAATCATCATACCAAGGCGCTCTCCAATTACAGTAACCTCGAAAAGTTTTTTGTCGTTACGACGACTCATACTCTTCACCAAACTGTGGCTTTTTCGGAACGCTCTGGTAGTACTTGCAATACTTCTGGTTGCTCTCACTCCAAATATGGTAATTTTGCTCATCCAACTTTCATTCACAAAAAGGTACGCATTGTTTAAGGTTGTGAGACTTCAATTCTTGCATCAGTTGTGTTTTCACCCCTAATCCTTCCGCAGATTTTTTTCCCCCAGTGGAGTAACAAAGTCTCAATTGCTGTGAATGGCGCTGAATTGATAATTTACGGTGTCACTAAAGCTGACGGATACTGCTGTGATATTTTCCTTTTTCCATACTCGACGTACTCTGCCGAATTATGTAAATTTGGTCCCAAGATACCGAATAGCTGCCTCAGAAGGTCATAAAATGAAAGATATGCACGCCACACTTTCTTAACCGAGCTTGAATTTTAAGAATGAGACATGAAACATTCGTTTGTAAGTTGATTAATGGTTGAATTACAAGTCACATGTTTCGAATTGCAGCGTTTGTTCACCAGAGGTGCGGCTGCGAGCAAGCGTCGGTCTTAAAGCAAGCGGCTCGCTATGTAAATGTGTAGAAGCTTCAATCTTACACGCTTAGCGAGGGTGTGCGCTGGGTTTGGGACCAGCCACATAGAAACCAGCTCCAATGAAAAATTAGCAACGTTCGGATGAGATACCCTCCTCTGCTGACGACCCCCGCAAACGAGTTAAGGATCACGATTTGAGGGCATGTACCTGAAATGTCGGTCCCTTAATTGAGAAGGTGCCGCTGCCCAGCTGGTTGATGTCCTCGTAAGAAGGACGAAAGCGAGTAGGTTCTTATGACATTTACTACAGTGGACAAGCGCAAATTTGGTGTCGGATACTGGCATTCACCATAGTGGATTTTCGTCTCGCCACAATCCGCATCAAAGCGAAATTTTCAAACATATCGTTGATTTGCGCCGATGCCCCGACGGCAGAGAAGGAGCGCCTAGAGCATACTTAAGAGAGCAGTCCCCGCCACAATATAAAAACCATGCTTGGTGATTTTAATGCCAGGATGGGGAAAGAAGGTATCTTTGGTACGACTGTCGGAAAGTTCTGCCTTCGCAACGAAACTTCCTCTAATGGGTTGAGGCTGATCGATTTCACCGGGACGAAGCTGTGACAATACCAAGTATACAGTGTTTATTTTCTTCCGTCCTTTTATCGGCTCAACTGACACATATCATTCCTTTACGTCAGTGCATGTTGACATAATAATGCTGTATGCTGCATATGCCCATCTTACATACCTTCTATCCATAATACCATACAGTAAGAGCGATATGCATACACGAGTAATCGACGCTGCTGACAGCGGCGAAATGTTGCCAGCTGCCAGTGTGTTTGCACACTTTTGAACAAATTCATAATTTTCGTCAACGAATTTCATAATTTATATGTTTGAATATAAACGTCAATCCACCGTTCCTTTTCATCTCTGAACTACAAAAACCTTGTTTTATCGCATCAAATCGTTACGACTAATAACCGACGTGAAACATTCCGACCCAAACAGCTGCCCAAATTGGGATAACGATAAATAGATAGGATATCAAATAACGATAAAGTTGCGCAAACTAACTGACTTCATTTCATCATCTGATTGACTTCATTTGTGAAAAACACCCGAAAGTCTTTTATATATTTGTACATTATATGCATATATTTTACATTAATATGATCCACTCTTGACCATAAAGTCATTATGAATAAAGGAAATACCAAAAGGATTCATGCAAATATACACACAGATTTCATGCATCTATAGTCATTGTTTTCATATTATTCGTATTTATTTCTTAAGAATCTCTTCAAGTAGTAAACACATTCTTACATAAATATAAATCTATTTGTGTATTCTTTTCGCACTTTTGCTCTGTAAAAATCCGCATTGCTGTTAACGCATTTTAACGATCGCCAATAATTCGTCTTGCTGTTGCTAATGACTTAATAATTAAATTTAATGTTCAACTAATGGTGAATAATAGATATATTTGATGTGTTTTTGTTTTATAGCTTTGCTAGTCGTCACCTCAGAGGCCAATGAACCGGGCGGATATATACGTGAGGTCTGCAAATACCGTAAGGCGAAATTGGTAAGAATTTGCTTGTGCTTTTTATTTGGGCTTTATTTTGAAAAAACCTTTTAAATATTTAAATATTTATTTATTATTAAGATGAGCTCCTGTTCTAACTTCTGGGCTCCATACCTACTCAGTACAATGTCACAATGTGGGAGGCAGAATTTACTAGTGAAGGCATATCGTAGAGCAGCGCACGTTATACACCAGTAACTGGGCAATCTTCTTAGAACCGAGTCTGTTAGTGGAAAATGAACTTATTTAGCCATTAAGAAGTGTTTAAAATTTTAAAGTTATTGTTTTGTATGAAATCCTGCAAGAAGCTCACAGAAAATCGAAACCGTAAACGTTAAGCTTAAGCTGATTATGCTGTTACATTTTCTTTTCTCGATGGGCTCGTATTCTTTCTTGTGCTCTGGATCATGGGCACATGGTGGTACAAATTTACCGAAGCGCTATTCGTATGTATATGTATAAAAAAGGTGATTTTTTAAGAGCTATAGAAAAGTTTAAAGAAAAATGCATGAAATCTTTATTTGAATCGACAGTACGGTCCATATAAATTAATGCTTGAAGATCATTTCAGGCAAATCTTGATCGTGACTGCGCCTTAAATGGTCCATCCGCTTAGTCCGATTTTGGCATACTATTTCCAACATTTCGGCCGGTATCTCATGAACAAATGCCTCAATTTTATCCTCCACTGCGCCAACTGAAGTGGGATTGTCTGTATAGACATTAGGTTTAATATAGCCCCACAAAAAATTAGTCTAAAGGCGTTAAATTGCACGATTTACGCGGCCAATTGACCGGTTCCGAACGTGAATTAAAATGTTCACTGAACTCGCCTCTCAATAAGTCCATTATGAAGATGGCACCGTCTTGTTGAAACCACATGTCATGCAAGTCAAGCTCTTTATTTTGGGCAAAAAAAGTGTGATATCATCTCACGGTAGCGCTCACCATTCACAGTTAGTTAAAGTATGGTCCATTGATGCCATCAGTCCGTAAATCGCACCAAACTGTGACTTTTTCTTGGATGTTTTGGTAGCTCTTGCAGTGCTTCTGGCTGATCTTCAGTCCAAAATCGACAATTCTGCTTATTTGCGCACCCATTAAGCCAAAAATGAGCTTCGAAGTGCGCACGGAAGTGGTTAATAAAATTCATTAATTTCCGAGCGTTGTTCATTTGTAAGACGATTCATGGTTAAATTATAGAGTAAACTGAAGTTGCCTGACAGTGATACAAAACACGAAAAGTGCGTCAGCTGTTTAAGCCAGTGTTGCCAAGAAGATAATAGCTAAAAAATGACCCTTTATTATACAATATATGTATATACAATATAATTAGAGCTTTGTAACCGCTGAAGCGATTTTCAGCCGAGCTCCGATTTTTTTCCAACTAATAGAGGGGTCTACAGATTATTCCAATCCGGCTTCCGATGAGCCTTATTTACACTTTAAGAGCTGCCGAGGGGCTACCGCAATAAAAAAAATTAATTTAACTCGACTATTGATACGATTTTAGTATTGTTTGCATTTTATTACACTCTGTGATCACAAGTATATGGTACACGGATGCTTCCAATTTTATTTTACCCTAAAAAGATATTTGTACCTTTGACATTGCACTTTTTCTCTTCTGCCACTGTCCTCCCCAAAGTTGGGAGGAAACTGTGGAATTTGCTGCGAGCTGACAAAAAGGTTCAGACTTCGTGGTTTCCGGTTCGGCTATTAAGAAATAATCGGTGTACTCATTGCCTTGCAGTGAAACTCTGTCTCCTTCTCTGGGACATTTATTAGTTGGGCTTATATGGCTTTTGTTTCGGGGTTTCTAAGAATTACATAACTGAAAAGCTTGTGTGGGAGCTCTTTTGTACGTCGAAGGCACGCTCTTGAAACAGTGGCTTGGGAATCAGCCCATCGGCACCATCTATCTAATATTTCACGTACTAGGCCTTCGTTCGGATCTCAATAATCATCGAATTTATTTCATAACCTTACATAATCTGAACAAGATTTTATTATAACTTGTTACGCATGCGGTCTTTATAATTCCAGCTCCAACCCGTCACCGAGTACCGACAGCGTCTACACAAATTACGCGAACAGATGAAAATCCGTTCGGCTGTGCAGGGACTCGAGATCGATGCATACATTTTGCCACCCTACGATGAGCATATGAATATTGAAATAGGTGAACATGATCGACGTGTACAATATTTGACAGGCTTTACGGGCACCGGAGCTTTTGCTGTTGTTACAGCACGTACAGCGGCATTTTGGGTGGATAACCGTTTCGTGCAACAGGCAGATGCAGAAATCGATTGTGAGTGGGAGCTATATCGCATGAATGATAGCGTAACGATAACAACATGGCTTTCGGTAAGAGCGGACATCTCCACTTTCGGACTTTTTTGTACAATTATTAATCCCTTTCACAGGCTAAATTACACGCAGATCAACGTGTCGGTGTCGATCCGCATCATGTGCCACATCATTTGTGGTTGCGTTGGCAGCGCGAGTTAGCGAATAGATTATTGGTATTGAGTAGAGTTAATAATAATCTGGTGGATATGATATGGACGAATCAACCGGCTCCATCGAATTTCACAATTAGTGTGCAGGAGCGACAATTTGCTGGCGATAAGTGGGAGGATAAAGTGGAGGAGTTGCGCTTGAAACTGCAAACCTTTAGTTGTGATGCCATAATTGTGACGTCACTGACTGAAATCGCCTATTTGCTGAACATACGGGGTATGGATATACCATACACACCGGTTGTTCGAGTATGTGGAAGAACATTATGCGAACCTCAATGAGAATATATGCGATAACATTTATTTTACACTTTTTCTAGTCATATCTCATAGTTAGCCATGATGAGATATTCTTCTATGTGGATCACAATAAAATGTCGCAAGGAATTGATTTTCATCTGCGCACGGACTGCTACAATGAACGTTGTGTGAGGTAGCTGTGCCGTGTTGGATCTCATTTGATTCTGATTTTCTTTCACGCCCCATTTCTTTATGATTTCTTATTATTCAGAATAAAGGAGTACAATAAAATCTGGAACGATCTACGTACTTATGCACAGATTTGGAAGCGCATATTCGTGCCAGGTCCTTGTGTGCAGGAGGAAGGGTCATCTGAGGCGGTCCACAATGCGCTACCCAGTAATATAATTTACACTGAGGTCTCGCCGATAATATTTATGCGCGCACAAAAAACACCGGAAGAGCAGCGGGGCATGCGTGAGGCGCACGTACGTGATGCGGCTGCCATCTGTGAGGCAATGAGTTATTTGGAGAGTAGAGTGAGCTAAATAATAATATACATATATACATATTATATTAGAATTAGTTTATGACAATTTCGCAATATTTTAATATGTATATTCTTCTCTACGCACAGTTCTTCCTCGAACAGTGGACCGAGGAAAAAATTAGATACGAAATTGACCGTTCACGTCTCTCGCAAAATAATACACGCGGTCTTTCGAAGCGCAGCGTTGTTGCTTTCGGCGAACATTCTGCACTGCCATATTATATTTCAAGCAATGTCACCGATATAGAAGTAACCGATCAGAGTCTATTGGTTATAGAATCAGGGGGACAATATTACGAAGGCACAACCGATATGTCGCGCACATTTATTTTCGGCGAGCCAACAGCCGAAATGAAGCATGCTTATACCACTGTTTTAGCGGGTATGTTGGAGTTGTCTAAGTTGCGTTTTCCTTCCAATTTGCGCGCATCTGGTGTGGATGTGCTCGTGCGACGTTTGGAATGGGAAGATATGGTCGACTATCCACAGACGTCGGGCAGTGGTATTGGCGCATACGGCGCGGTAAAAGAACGTAAGTTTGCGGGATTTTTCAGTCGAAAACTCAAACGTACTAACACTTTGCATCTTATCTAGCGCCAATATCTATAGCTTACGGTCAAGAAGGCTCATATCACTTCAAGGAAGGTTACTTCTTCTCAAGCGGTGGGTATAATGTGTAATGGATTGAATTAAGTTCCTGAAAATAGACTGTGTCTCTTTTCTTCAGAGGCTGGCTTTTACCATGCCGGTGAGTTTGGTGTGCGTCTGAAAATCGTCTTGGAGGTGGTGGATACAGGTAAAACGCATCCAAATGGCATGAAGTTTTTGGAATTTCATCACGTGACTTTGGTGCCCTTCGAACCGAAGCTAATCGATCCAACGCTGCTAAATGCAATGGAGGTAAGAAATTAAGTTTTTAGGGATGGGTTATCCGACATTAATAAGTAATATTAATACTCAAATAATCTTTCTGCATTAAGATAGGTCGATGAAATTTTTTATGAATAATATATAATGGAATAAATATTATGATTCAAGAGAATTATTTAATTGATTAAAGTTAAAGTAAAGTATAATGGAACTTGGTAAAATATATAAAATAAAGAAAGTAAAATAAAATAAACTAATCAAAGTAAACCAAAATGAAATAGATTTAAATTAAATCCTTATAAAGCAAGCAGGAAAAAAATAAAAAAAATGAAATATGCAAGTTCTATGGAATTATATAAATTCAATAAAACTTATTTAATAAAATAATTAAAAAATAAAATACATTAAAATAAAAATATTAAAATAAAATTAAATAAGCTGAAATAAACACATAAATTAAAACACAAAATAATGTGTAGCAAAATAAATTAAAAGGAAGTACATTATAATATAATAAAATCAAACAATATAAACTATCATAAAACAAAATATTTTAAAACAAAAATGAAATTAATTAAAAAAAAATTTAATCAAATAAATCAATTAAATAAAAAAATTAATAAAGCAAGCAAATTAAAAAGAAATAATAAAAAAAGAAATATCAAAGAAAAAAATTAATTAATATGAAATAGAATAAAAAATGAAATAAAATAAAAAGTAACAATTAAAAAAAAAATAAAATTATATTAAATAAAATAGAGTAAAATAAAATAAAAGAGAGTTAAACTAAAACAAAACAATATAAAATCCTATAGAGTGAAGAAGTTAAATGCAATATGCAATAAATGCAATGCAATAAGAACATCATTTTAAAAAAATTATTAATAAAATTAAAATTATTAAAAAAAAGGTTGTTATGCTCGTGGAGGTTATATTTAGAAGGAGAAGAGCCGTAGTATCTTTTTTCATCGATCAATGGTCAGATTTACTAGGTTACCGTTGTCCTTGCTAGTGAATACCGATCTTAGCTGGTATTTTGTAGAGGATTAGCAATTTCATGTTCGTTTCTCATTCAATCGTCAGTTTTCAAAAGATTTTCCTACATTTTTTTACCACTTTTGAGGTCGTGTGATAACAATGTAGATACTTATTTGTCAACCATAGTTGAGATACTATACTACAGCTGAGTATTCATGAAATTTACATTACTGCAGTTAGTTTGGCCTGAAAGACGAAGTCTCTGGCTCATTTCGATAGCAAATGGTTCTGTGTGAACTCTCAACTAATCTAGAACTGTTACGTTTTTCATTTCAACCTCTATGGGATTTCCCAGGCTTGTCGGGAGACAATTAAGAAGGGTTTCAAATGCTATATTGGTTCGATATGGTTGGTTCCGACAATTGGTCGTTCAAATGTACAAAGAATAGTTAAAACATATAAACCAGAGAGAGAGAGGGTATAAATTTCTCCTTCTGGTACGTTCATACTTCGTACCAAAGTTACTATACCATTAATTGTAAATGGAAGGTATAAATTAAATAAAATTAAAAAACTAAAATAACTACATTAATATCAAACAAAACTAAAAGTTAAATTAAATTAAATAGAATTAAAATAAAATAAAATTAAATAAATTGTATTGCATACAAAGCTAGAAAAATATAAATTTATTATAAAAATAATAAAGGGAAAATAATTAAATAAATAAAATCAAAATAAATTAAGTCAAACAAAATGACATACAATAAAAAAAAAAATTGAAATAAATAATATGCAATGAAATAAAATAAAAGGTTAATAAATTAAAAGAAAATATAGAATTAAAAAAAATTAAATTACAATAAACTAAATTAAGTGAAGCTAAATAAAATAAATTACAATGATATAGAAGAAAATAAAATAACTAAAAAACATCTAAATTGAAAACAAAATATTTTAATTAAAATAAAATGAAATGAAATACGATGAAAATATAATTTAATAGAAATGAAATAAAATAAAAAAATTTTAATTAAATAAAATAAAATGAAATACAGAAAAAATAAAAAAATTAAAATAAATTGCAATGAAATAAAATAAAATGTTAATAAAAAAAATATATAATGAACAAAATTTAATTTAAATAAACTAAATTAAGTGGAACTGAATAAATTATGATAAAATAGAATAAAATAAAATAACAAAAAATATATAAAATGAATAAAAAATATTTTAATTAAAATAAAATGAAATGAAATACAATAAAAATAAAAAAATTAAAATAAAATGTTAATAAAATAAAGGAAAATATAGAATTAAAAAATAAAATTAAAATAAACTAAATTAAGTGAAACTAAATAAATTAAATTACAATAAAAGAGAATAAAATAAAATAAATTAAAATAAACAAAATAAAATCTAGTAAAATCAAACAAATAAAAATTAAAGAAAATAATATAATTTAAAAAGAAAATAAATTAAAAAAAAGAAAAAAAATAAACCGAAACCAAATGAAATGACGGGAGATAAAAAACCAAAATAAATTAAAATTAAATAAGATAAATTAAAAAATTAGATTTATTTTTCAAATTAATAGCCAGATTACTTTTGTATTTAATCCAATGATTTATTAAATAATCGCACATTCTCTTAATTATTACCAAAAACTACCATCTCCCTCATCTCTCCACTCTCAGAAACGCTACCTGAATGAGTACAATGCTAAGGTACGGGAACTCGTCGGTGGCGAACTAAAACGTCAGGGCAATATGCAGGCCTTCTATTGGATGATGAACAAGACACGTCACATACGAGAATATCTACCGGAAGAGGATTATCGCGCGGCGCGTGGTTCCGGCAGTCGCATACGTAGTTTTCTAACCGTAACAGTGCCAGCACTGTTATTGGGCATAACTGTGCTTTGTACTTTCCTCAAGTGGTTGTTCTAGTTTAAAATATACATATATATGTATAAGTATATGTTAATTAAAGTAAAGTAAATATACATACACGTATATGTATATGAACATTATGTATGTATGTATGTATGTATGTAGCTATTATCATTAACTAAATTTATCAGAATCTAAGATTAACCTTATGTATTTAGTAAAATTCTATGTTTATTTTGTAAAATGTGTAGTGAAATAATTAACTGCGAACAAGTTTGGTACAATTCTGAATACATAAATATGTAGGTTTATATGTATTCGAAAACAAATTCTAAAAACTATTCTTGTTAAACATTTTATGAAGTAAAAACGATGTGCCTAATTCTCACTGTGTATTTAGTTTTAAGATTGTAAATAATGTACGAAGTGCGTGTGGAACATGACCAGACGAAAATGTGAATTCATACTGAATGCATTATTTTTGTAATAAAATCAAACTAATTACTTAAAAATCTCGACATATAAACACTTTTACTTATGGTTTGGATGTCAATTTTGACAGCGTATTAAATGATGAAATTCTGTGCTGAAGATAGAAGTGCGAAAGAAAGAAGCGAAAACTACATTTTTTGTTTGCCTTTAGACCATGCACCAAATCTCGGAGAATACCCGTGAGAAGAAGATTGGCACACACCACCTCTTCGTCGCTCTATGTCGCAATGAATTTGGTACCCCTTCAAAACTTATACGGCTGAGTAAAGTGACATTAAGCAACTATATGCTTATGCAGCGAATCAAGAAAAAGCAGTTGCGCTGGATAAGTGATGCTGTCCAGATAGATAAGAATACTCCAGCTTCGAAAGTTTTCGATACAGTATCTACCGGTGGTAGCAGAGGAAGAGGAAGACCTTCACTCCGTTGGAAATACCAACTAAGAGTAGAGAAGGACCTGGCTGAAGAAGAAACGAATGGCGCAATGTTGTTAACTCGGCTACAATCGCGTAAGCGGTGTCTACGTCAGTAAAGTAAGTAAGTAAGTTTGCAGCTAATATGGAGTTAAACGACTGGAGCAAAGGTCTGAAATATGCAGATACAGATGGTTCTAAATTAAAAAAAATTCGGCAGAGTTACTACAATGTGGTGTTGTCGCATTTGTAAAGAAGCGATTTAAGTACTGTCTGAAAGCAGAAGAGTGCAGATTTACTGGGTACAAGGCCCCGAGGACATTGACGGTAATGAGATAGCTGGCGAACTTGCTAAGGAGGGTATCTATTTCGAACAAGATGCAGCATGGAACCTTCGAGTGAAGAAAAAGCTAGAAGTAAAGAGGGCGGAGTCCAGACGTTTAATAGAACTATTAACAAGACATAGCCTTCTGCCGTCTCACGCCTTTAATATAGGTCTGACTGTGGACAAAAAATGTAAGCAGTGCAAGAAATATGTGAAGACAGTGGAGTACGTAATCTGTGAATGCCCGACATTCCGTAGGCAAAGGCTATAAATACTGGGCGCAGAAAGGCTACAGGATCTTCAAGCGGCAATGGTCAAGGGGCCAGAACGACCACTTAAGTTCGCGAAAAGAACAGCCGTGCACTACACACTGGATACACAATATGAGTGTGGCAGTAAAGGTTGGTCGCATGTAATGTGCCTGGCAACACTATGGTTGTACATCTACCATGTAAGACCCAAGGGGTCAGCCAGCTTAACCTAATCTAACCTAACCGTCTCTGCCAAGTTTTCATCATTTTTACAGTGAATTTTAATAACTTCAATGCGTGGTTGAAGCGTGTTTCGTTCCATTTTAATTCGTGGCGTAGTTTTTACTTGTTAAATGTCAAAAAATTATAGCTTCAAAGGTGACATCTGCCGGAATGATGAACACCTCTAATTGGAAAAATCACCACAAATCAACAGCTCAACTAAACAAAACTGAGCTTTAAGATAAGGGAAATCATAAATGAGTTTTTCGAAATTTTTTTCCAAGGTCTAAGCAGTTTATTTTTCACTTAAATACATACATATTAATTTACATTGTCATAGCTTTAATTCCTTCTTGATCTCTACAACATAAAATCATTTACGGTTTTAATCACCACATTGGATTTTTGCAAGATGATGCACTCTTCCGCATAAAATGCTAAAGTCACCTTTATGGATTCTTTAACCTGCATAAATCCATTGCGCGAGAGCTTAAACTTGCCGACCTTCGGATGAATTATGTCCACGTACACAAAGAATGCGGGTTTCTTCACCATGATCTTCAGAGTATAGGCATTTTTAAATGATCTATCCCCATCAACGCAATGGATCCATTGTAAATCAAACTAAAAGCCCATATAAATATCGATTACTGCACAAGCTGGATGAGAATTGCAAAAGTGCAATCAGAACTTACCGACAAAGCGGGATCGCTGATCCCTTCAGCTGTATTTAAAGCGGTGGGAAAGTGGTAGGTGGAAGAAATTTCCTTAGAGCCGCTATGCAAGACAAAATACATGAAGGTGTTCCTTTCAGTGGTGTAATTTTTAAAGATTTCGCTTTTTGCAAACGAACGACTCTCGAGTACTGCGTTCGGTTTCTAAAGAGGAATGGAAAAAAATTGATAATTTTAATTTTTTGGGAAAATAAATAGTGGATCTCACCAAGTTCACATCAAATGTGGTATAATTCACTGGCTTCAGCGAGTTGTATTTATAAAGTTGTACTGTTACATGCATACCTTCACTGCCCACTTCCAAAAGATCGCAAGCGACAGTCATGTTAATAGCCTTCGTGGCGCTATCGGGTAAGACAATCAATGTAATGGGCGCCAAAAATTCTTGAGACCAATAATAGGCGAGCTGTGGGTGAGCAGGAAGGCAAATGTTAGATGGAACTTTAGTTTGCAATGAAGGGTGGTCTTACCTTATAGTTGCCATAAAAATCGATGGTAGACCATGAAGGTGCAACCCAGACATCGTTCAACTGCCAGTAGAGGGCGCCCATCGTACGATGTTCAGTGTTGCGCAAACTGCGATACCACTCGGTTTCGACTTTCAGCGCCATGGCCTGTGCGATTTGGCTGAAATAAATCAGTGCATCTGTGTAGCGGCTGTCTTTCGTCAATGGCAACGGTAGATTTGGACGTATTAAATTCACAATTGGTAACATAGCCATGGGATGATGTTGACGATGACGCATTATTTCCATTAGATTCTCACCCGCCAACATGCTGCGCTTCCAAGCTTCTACCCGCGGCAAACTCTGGAAACCATACTCGGACACGAAACGAGGCGTGGGATAGATGTTAACATTCCAACCATTTTGGTGTACCACAAAGTAGTGTACTGAAAATTTATGAAAGACAAAAAAAAAAAAAAAAAAAAAAAGGAGAGAGAGAGGAATGAAAAATACTTGAGAATGTCCTTAAGGTAAAGAATCTCATACGTACCATCGCCATATTGTGCACTTTGCGGATCCGGCGAGATGTAGGTATATTTTTCACCCCGCTTCCCTGTCGACGGAGTTGAAACAAGTGACGGCACGCGTGCTGGATGGTTCATACTCTTCAATACACCAACGACGTTATTCAAATATAGTGTACGATATTCATTTTCGAAACGTTTCTGTTCAACCAAAGTGCCAAATAAGTTTTGGGCCAAAGCTAATTCGTTTTCGCTATTCGCAGCGAACACAATCAAACTGGGATGGTGTGCAATGCGACGTGCATTCTGCAGCACTTCGATGCGTACGGAGGTGAGAAAGTCTTCATTAACTGGATATGTTGTGCTAGCAAATGCCATGTCTTGCCAAACGAGTAGCCCCAATGAGTCAGTGAGATCATAGAAAAAATCCGATTCGTAAATTCCACCACCCCAAACACGTATCATATTCATGTGCGCATCTTTGGCCGAAGTGAGCAGGTGTTTGACTGTGACATATGTGGCTTTAGTAATAGGCTTTAGTAGGACTTAAAATATTTATCCAAAGATATACTACGGAGATTAGTATCTCACTTCAAATAATGTATGTAATCGAAGGTATATGGGTGAGGGGTGGCAGTCTGAAAATGACTTGGTTGCCAATGGCGGCTTTGTGACGTCGGCTCTCCCTTATCCATATGAGTTTACAGGAAGTTTAATGAGGTACAAGAAGTTTTATACATTTTAAACATATAGGGAGAGCTACATCAAAATTTAATGGCAGTAAATTCAGATATTTGATATGTTGCTAGTCTGAAAGCAGAGGGATGCCTAGGAAATTTACTGAAGATGCGATTCAGTCCTCAAGAGCTCTTGGCGAATAAGATATTTGGTTTCCGATCATCAAATACCGCAGATTAACCTTAAAACTCTGGCTAGATGTAGTACGGTCGAATCCAATGGAGATGCTTAAGGAATTTTGTTGACCTCTCTTAAACTTTGATGACTTGTATAATTGCAAAAAGGACTAAAATATTAAATTAGGTAGTAACCAAGAGTCCCGTAATGGTATTGAGTTCTTAAGGATTGTAGATATGTATACGATGTAATCGAATCGCAAGTGATGTAATTAAAATTTTAAAGTGTTTTCTTCTCAATTCTTTGATTTTTAATACGTTGCGATTTACTCATAATGAGAGCCCTCCCGGTGGACCTTACACTTTAAGTAATCCCTGATTGTGAGGCGGTTTCGGAGTAATGTGGGTTTCCTAACGATTATGTGTTCGAAACATACTCGTACTACGAGCACAAAAGCCTAGATTAAAATCAACTAGACATTCTACCAGATAAGTGATGACATTTAAATCACTAAACATATATATATATATATATTTAATATATATATAATATATATATTTAATACATATAAGTATTCCATGTAACCAAAAACTTACGTCGTTCTGGATCCTCCATTTTTTCTGGCAAAATATGCGATGGCACATAATTGACACCCTTCATGAAAATCTCCTCACCATTAATGCGAAATAAAAATGTATAGCCACTACCTGGCAACTCACGATTCGGTAACTCCTGTTCCACTAGTTCAACTGTACGAAAACCAATGCGTATAGATTTTTGGGAGACACTTGGCGACGCAGCTGTCGGTCCTTCATTGCTTAGCCATGCGTTCAGCACGAAATTGAAAGTATAAAGTTTTTGAATGCCATAGCCATTGGGCCACCAAGGTATAACGGAGTTCTAAGAGAATTAAGAAATTTACGAGAATTTTTTTTGGCACTTTAAAATTTATGAAAAGTAAATTTTTTTTTGATTTACCAAAGGAAAAGTTTGTGAAAATGTTATTACAGCCTTTTTGCGCGAAATAGGCTCTTTCACAAAGTCCTTAACGATGAGAGGTTCTTCAAGCAGTCCACTGCAAATAAAATCACATACTTATTATGCACTTCCAGGCAAAGATTTTGTACGAAAACTCACAAAGCATAAAATTTGAGTTCACCAAAGAAGTCCTCGTTTCCAGTGAAATCCAAGTAGACATTTATATCGGCTTTCCAGTAAGTTTTTGTGCGACTCGTCACCACATCCACATCACGTATGACGGCAACCCCATAACATTCCAAGTTTACGCTCTTCCTACAACACACCTTCACTATTGTATCATTACAACTCGTCAGTGTGTTTCGAACACTTACCAAATGCCCATCGATGGCGCTGCCAAGCCGAAATCCCATGCAAAACTCGCTTGCATCTTTCTCAACATATTGACATTACATTCGCCGTGATAGCGATCGGATGGACAATTCGGCGGGTAAGTCGTGCCATTGACACCGAAGGCATATGCACGATTTTTCGCCATTTGCACAGGTGAGAATATTTGCACTTCGAATATATTATCTTCGTTCAACAAATCGCTGACATCGTAACTATAGCGCACAAACATATTGTCCGTGCGACCCAGTACGCGGCTGTTTAAACGAATCTCTGCGACTGTATCGATACCGTGAAAGGTTAAATTGCAATTATGTTGTGCCAATTGGGCCCGGGAAACTGTGAGACGAGTGAGAGGAAATTACACTAAGAAGAATATTACATCAATAAACCCCCGACACAGTCCTTTATCCAACTATAGAGTCAAAAAGTTTCACTTATGTTCACTTTAGCATTCTCTTCGAAGTTGGTAGAAAGGAAGAGTTGATTCGGATTATAGAGACTTATTGAAATTAGTGTTAAGAAACTAAATATGTATCACGCACTAGTGTTGAATCAATGTTGAAGCTACGCGGCCGACTCCGGAACAAACTCGACTGAATTGAGAATATGCTTCAAGAGGCAGTGCGCAGCCATACTTCCGGTCAAAACATACGCTACACTATTCGAAAAATAATTAGAAGCGATGGATAGGTGTGAGTGCTACAGAAACTGCCAAAGATTGGTCTCTCAGTATTTTTTTGCGGCTCATAGATGGAGTATTTTTAAGTTGACTTTCGGCCGCATTAGACGAGTGGTTATCAGTGCGTTGCATCATGCGGAAAGTCGGGGTATGGTTTCTGGCCGGACCTACATCGGAAATCGTTCCTTGACAAGGAATGTCACGCCCTCTGAGCGTATTTCTGATATGAAATAAAACTCCTCATAAAAATACACTGGCCGCTCGGAAGCGGCTTAGTAGAATAAACTATAAATTCCTCTATTAGTAGAAAATAAATTAAGATGCACAGCACAAATTGCAAGTCTGGGCTTTTTAGTTCTCCGCGGCTGGGAGAATGGTATAATGGTCAGCCGCCGACCAAGAAAGCAAGAGTCGTGATTCGACTGATGTAGCGACATAGCATAAATAGGTGAGTTAATACTTCTTATCTTAGGTATCAGGACATGGTGAGAAACTACTCTCCCTTAATTTTTTTTCGATTTATAAAGTATTTAGAGGCGATGAACTGCTATTCGTTCTCTCGGAATGTCTAGTCAAAGTGCTATTCCCCTGAAAGGTCTGCGCGGGATGGTACGCCACTCCCTTTCATAAAACGTGAGTTACTTCGTGGCTTTGAGGAACTACTTTCTCTCTGGTAATGTCTAGGCCAGGTGTAACTTCTCTACTTTACTTAAAGCGTGGAGTATTTCGAGGCTTTTTTGGTACTATTCCCCTTTAGAAATTTATTCATAATTATTTAGAGTCGACGAGGTTTATTTCCTCTCTTGGCATATAGTTTTGAGGCTCTCTTTCTCTGCCCTTACATAGACGGACTTGTGTGACAATTCAACACGAGCCGTGCTCATTATTATTTGAAGGATCTTGTCATCCGGCGTGCTAAACTCAACGATAACTCCGCTCCGAAGCTCTTTAATTACCTTTAAATGCTCTCGTGTAAGTCCAGTTGTCCAGAGATACCCAACGCATGTTGATGTCATTGTAGGAATTCAATATATTTTCGCCATACAAAACGCTGTAAACGCCAGATGGCAATTGAATATTGCTTCTGCTGATCGCTGTTAAGAGGAGTTTACAAAGGAATTATTTATTTTCTTTGAAAATATTAAACGAAGAAATTAAAGTAACTTACACAAATTCTGATTTGTCACCGTCCAGTTGGCATTGAGATCGATAATTGCGACAAGCTCTGATTTCGCGGCGAGAAATAAGCTTGCGAATGGCAGGATAAAGAGTACTTTTAGCCTCGCCAAAATCATAATGATTTAAAAAAAAATATTTATATATACAATATTAATGAATTATTTAATTAAGCTTAATGCACTAAGAATGCCAAAATACGACTAACTGTAAGTGTCGCCAAACAGCAATATTTATATACTAAAGTTGCAGTAGCAGCGGCTACCCAATAAAACAGCTGCAGCTTCAATGTTTCAGTTTGGCTCAAAAGAGCTACAGATCAAATTGTTTCAACTTGGATGTGGAACAGATGTATCGGGCATCTTTTGTCTTTCTATTGCGTCTGCAACGGCGCCAAGAATGGCCTTGGAATTTTATGTAAAATATAAATTTTTTTAATAAAACAAAAAGTTTTTTTTACTCATGAAAATATGTACAGTTTTTTTTATTCTAATAAATAATAATAAAATATAAAATATTAATATTTGAAGCAAACAGATTTTGTTGGAATTAGATAGACTTGTTTATAAATCTCAAACACCTGTTAAATTTATTATATCACATAAAGCCATGTAGTCTTACATATGTACATAAGTATATATATGACAACAACCTGAATTGTTTAAAAAAGAAAGCCGACAGTGTATAAATAATAACATATGCCAAACTGGTAATTTTTCCGAAAAGAAACAAGAGAGAAAAATTGTCTTCGGCTATGCTTCGTGCTTAGTTGCTTTCTTGCCGTAATTTTTTATCCAAATCCTCACGTCTGAACAAATCTGTTGTAGGCACGCTAAGGCATATATACTTCCGATCAACTCAGCTCGTCATTGTGATCCGATCGTTATAAATTTTGGGTCTCTTTCTTATCTCCTTCTGGTAGATATGTACATCCGAGGGAGCATTTTTATGTTCGCGGAATGCTATCAATTTAATTATGTATTTATTTAAGTTCTAGTAATCTTCGCAGAAGCTCTATGGGATTTATGTCAAATCTGCACCACTCGATGCTCGATATCTTTTTTGACATTTTGAAGGTAATGCCACTATGTCTCTCTCATAGAACCCTGCTGCTTGTTTCTATTAGGAAAAAATTAAGATAATCGATTTTCACTTGCTTCTCTTGAGGCCGATTCTTCACTCGACAAATCATTCGCCACGTAAAGGAAAAGATGGTACTCTCTTGGAGCGCGGTCCGCACTGTAAGGTGTACGCATAAGAACCTCCCAACTGGGCTCGATGTGTTTGGTCTTGCATTGTCCTGATGAAACTAAACTCCCCACCTGTTGGCCAAAGTTGATTTCTTGCCGCTTTCATCACCAGTCACCATCCGCTCAGAAATAAGTGAATTTCGTTACGATTCGGCTACTATTCGTAGATAGAAATTTGGTCCATTGTGTATCTAGAACTTTAGCCTAAGCCATCTCCGTAGGAATTAAATTAATTTTTTTTAAATTTCTATTATTTTTGAATGTTAGCTGCATCGGACTCGAACAGCAGTTTTGCAAATGACAGTTCGCACAAAAAAAAAAAACAGTTCATCGTGAAAATAGGCCGAGTCAAGGGACATACTTTATCATCAGTAATAAACTTTTTTACCACTGAACTCACTTTTAATTTTCGGAAACAGGCCAGGTCTAGGCTGCAGTGTGTGTGATTCAAAATATCGAAGCTCTGCCTATGCAAGGCCGCTAATGCCAAGACACGTTGTCGCGAAAATAGAGCACACCTTTTGTAAATTTTCCCTTTAATGGCTTCTTTAGTCGCCGTAATATTGGAGTGCACCCTTATTTTTATAACTTACGAATAATAGTCCTACTTATCATCTTATTTCAACACAGGATCGTTATGATAAATATAAGTTTCATCTTCAGTAACAATTCCTCTTGTCATTACAAAATCCATAAAATGCACCTGAACACTAAAGCTGACCTTCGTTATGCCAAACTGATCGTGTAGGATTTCAAAAATTGTTATATCCAGTATTCAAGCCATTTCGCCGAGTTGTTTTTTCTCTAGTCGATCATTATCGAGGAGAATTTCTAAACTTTTTGAGTTCTAGCATACTCACCTCGATGGTGTTGGCCGGCCTAGGGTCGTCTTCAAGGGATCCCCTTCCCCGTTTAAATAAACTGTGCCACTCGTGAATTATGATTTTCCCGAACAAGAGTCGGTTCAAACAATGATATCTCATTCATCGTGGTCGAAACTTATTTTCCTTGCTTGGAACTTTATAACGGTAGGATATTCGATTTTTCCATATTTTTTAATCTTGATTCTGTTGCCTGCTTGGCGATAGCTCAAAGGCTAATTGTCTATAAACAACGAAATCTCGTATTTGTACAGATCATGAGTCACGGAAGATCGCAATGAGCTTTATCACCTCTCACGACCTTCTCATTCCGCGAACACAGAAACGCTCCCTCGTACTTCGGACCAAAGTTAATATAGAATTTCATTTTCTTTTTTTTTTTTTTGTTAAAAATGGACATGTTCCAATATAATTATTTTAATTAATGCATTTTGTCAGCAACTCTTCCTCGTAATCTCTTCAATTATCAATTTGCCTCTAACTGATTCCCATGGAAGTCTACAGCTACTAGGTGTTTTTCAAAACTTTATGGGGGCAGATCAATTGTTCCCACTTTCCTTCGGTACGTGTGTACATGCATATAAATGTCAGACTTTATTTACTTCCTTTACCACTTCCATACGTCACAATTCGACTTTCCGCCGCCGGCGTCGTCTTCGTGCATTTATCGCTGACATCTTCGCTTTTTTCTCAGCTTCGGCCAATAGGTACTGATTCATTGTTTGCACTTTTATATTTTCATTTTCGATTGTCATACATTCCGAAGAATGTTCATAATCCAAGTGCACAACTTTAATGGGCTCTGCTTGTATGAAACCGTTATGCGATAATTTGTACTTTTTTATTTGCGGATGTACGATTTGAATGAAAACGAAAAGTGCCGGCGCATGCACACGCACAAGCAAGCTGTAGGCTATACGACGCTTTAATGAAAGTGCGTCCTCATTGCAGTAGCGCCAGGAGATTTCAACCTAGTAGATGCGGGATGAAAGGAAATAAAAATAAATGCGGATGAAAAGGATTAAAAAGTAAAGACTCGCAAATACATAAATATTTAGGGATGTTTGCATATGTGTTATGGCTGTAATAATATACGAGGAAACACCTTTGGTCATAGCAGACTCATTAGAGTAGAACGAGAGCTTACGAGTGGTATAAGCGAAGCCGCTCATGATCGCTGGCACAAATGCAAATAATGAAAATTTCCATTGGTCACATTTCGTGTATTTAGGTTTAGAAGTTGGAGAACAGGATAAAGTTTGGGCGCAGGCAAAGGCTTTGTTGCAAACCGTTCAAGGGCAAGGAAAAACTTACTCTGAAAGAGAAGCGCAGTTGAGCCACAGACGGAGCTGATCGATTGAAGGCATACAAGCGGAACTCACTTTTGTCAACAGTTCTTCTGGGCTATATATCAATCATCGCAACCATGAAAGGCCCTCAAAGACAAGGGTATTTTGCCTTTAAATTAGTCACAATGCAAATTTTTAGGCAATAACAAATATCTTAACTGCAACCATGTCGTCAAAAGAATGATAAAGAGTTTCAAGCTTTCTCTCCACTACTTTACAGAAATATTTGGGATGAGAGTGATGAACTCAAATCATCAATTTCACAAAGGACCTTATTCCCATAAGAAGGACGCCTTAAGGAGGCGTCATATCAGCCATGCTCTGTAATCTGATAGAAACTAACTCGAAGCAGCTAGAACCGTAGAATGTACCGATGATGTTACCACAGCTAACTGATCTAACCCTTAAGAGGTATAAAGTACGGACAGTAAACCTACCACATTTAAATTCGGTTAACCAAATAATAATCAAGACCAAATTTCTACAAAGTAAAAAGATGTGAGGCCTCCACCGCCCTTTATTCGTGTTAGAGAGCCATTGTAAGGAATGACGTTTGAATCCTAATATCGGTCACAGGATCTTTACATCTGTTATGGGACCAATACTGGGCGAGCTGCGTTAAATAGGGGATAAGACCACGCCAAATGTGTTCCTCCATGTTTTACTAATAGATTTAAAATGGGTTTTCGGACTGCACCACTCTTCGCCTAAAGTACCAAGACCCGTGGTACAATTAACGATTTGGACACTTGATAATACAAGGAAGATAAAGTTTCCTACCAAGTTGGGCAGCAGTGGTCTATTGCCAGCAACATTTATTTTAAATCTCCATAAGTTAAGAATGGAGCAACAACTTCGCTACCCCAATCAACTGCATTGAGATATATATTGTTTGATTGAAACTTGGAGTTGGAGGAGAGGTGTTCTCTACCTTTCGAGCTTTCTTTCAGGCTACCCGATCATTATGTATCAACCTCAGATGTCCAAACATAACAGATTATCCCTCATTTGGCTTGTAGGTCACAGGAACGAACTTGCCAGGGAAATTGCTACTCAAAGACTTTATTTATGAGCAAACCGAGTCACATCGAAAAAGGTCAGGTAAAATAAACTTTTGCAAAGGACCTCTCAAAAGTTTTAAAAGCTGGAACAGGTCACAGCTTGATAGGTGACATGCGGCTAGAAGTTCCCATCAGGAGATGCTGTAGAAGCTGTAAGGTCGATGGAGAGTTAGAAGCGCTGTCTCATCTACTATGTGACTGTTCTGCCTGGAACATCAAGATAAAATATCTAATGAAATTTATAAAGGCATCGAATATGAGTGATCGGGTTGACACAGTGGGCCTACACTTGCCACTTGTATATTGATTCTGACACCTTCAACCTTAACTAATAGTCTGGTTTCGAAGGGAAGCAGCATGCACAATTATTCCTTTTGCCAGTTTAAATTTAAAGATATCCTCGTCTAACATATTCCCTTAATATCGCTTGTAACTTATCACTAAAATTATCAAAAAGGGTTTGATTAATTTGTTATGAAGTTTATTTTGTTGAAAGCTCAGTCAATCCCAGGTATGTAAAAAGCTATGCTTCCTACAGACTAGCTTTCGAAAAGTATTTGCAAAGGCGAAATAATAACGACCGAGATGGAAGAAATGAGTGGTCAATAGATTAAAGCTGGAAAACTTTTATTTATTTTCTTCAAAAGGCCGACATAAAGGTATTTCTAAAATAAGTTCGAAGGATTTTATTAAAAAAAAATATATATAATACTTTGCTCAGATAGGAAAGGGAGTAGTGGTGCTAACGCGGTAGCGACTCGTCTTTGAATTTTTTATACAACTGTCTCTTTCGAAATCAGATTGGAAAAAAGCTGAAGGAAAAAGTTTACACTGCTATTTAACAACGTTCCAACAGCAACGACAATTCTTCAAAGAGTACAATTTTAAAAGACAAAAAGGTGGCATCGCTCATCATATACACGTAAGTATTATTTCCGAGTGAATATTTTTAAAATTACTGCTCATTTATTAGCAACAATTTAAGGTTCTTGCCAGCATTTACCAATTGGAAACTCGTAGCACTTCCTGTGCGGAAGAACTGTGTGTCACAAATATTCATTATTGTAATAAATACTTACGGTAATTTTCGGATCTGTTATGCCTTCAATGCTTTTCATATTTGACGGTAAGAAAAAAGTAGATACGAGCAGATTTGCTTTTGCATCATAAAGCGAAAATTCCAAAAAGGAATTATTAACTGTAAATGGCGTAGCTATGATGTCGTCCAAAGGCACTGACCGCTGCTGCACAGAGTTTAGCTCCTGAAAAAGTTAATAATAGAAATTTGATAAATTCGTTGGAAAATAGACAGCATAGCGAACCCACTAAAACTTCATCGCGTGTGAGTGTCTTCCTGGCCAACAGCTTGTCCCAGAAGTAAACATTTATTGTTTCTACATATTTGCGGGCATCAGAATATTCTTTGTACTCATCTCTGATCATTGTTATATTGATGCGTCGATTGCTTGCGTCATACAAGGCAATTATGGCGAGAGGCGAGAAGAATTCCTTGGACCAATAATATAAAAGCTGTAAAAGAAGTGAACAACTAGTTCACATAAACGGTGATAGATTTGTAAATACGCCATAGCCACCTTATAGTTGCCATAGTAATCAATGCTGGACCATGTCGGTGCCACCCAAACATCATTCAAATGCCAATATATCGCACCCATAGTACGATAATTCACGCGTTGGCTGCGAAATAGATCCGTGGCTGTTTTAGCCGCCATAGCTTGCATGAGTTGACTGAAATAAATCAAATCGTCAATTTTATACTCCCAATCTGAGGGCCGAAATGGTATGTATCTTTCAATCAAGTTCAACATCGGCTCCATGCCATTCAGATCATGTTGACGGTGCTTGATTAGTTCGACAAGTGAATCATTTTCTAACATTGTCTGATTCCAAGAAATTATGGCTGGCAGACTCTGGAAACCATATTCACTGATAAAGCGAGCACGTGGATATATATCGGGATTGAGGGCGTCGAGATCCTCACCCCAAAAGTGCACTGTTAGTGAAAACCGAAATAAAGATTATATTAAAAAAAAAGAAATTTTTTCTATACATTATAAGTAATATTTAATAAAATAATAGCAAATTCAGATAAAATAATAAATAATAAAATAAATAAAATATTGTATAATAAAATATAATAATATAAAATAAATTAAAATGAAATAAAAAAATCAAACAGAAAAAAATTGATAATAATAAAAAATTAAATAAAAACATGAAAATAAAATAATATAAAATCAATGAAACTAAATGAATTAAAAGAAGTATAATTAAATTTAATTATAATAATCTAAATAAGTTGAATAATAATATAAAATAAAATAAAATAAAATCAAATATAAAAAAAAATAATAAAAAAATAAAATAAAAACATAAAAATAAAATAATAAAAAATAGAATAAAATAAAATAATATAAAATAAAATATAACAAAATAAAGTAAAATAAATATAAATAATAATATCAAAATAAATTGAAATAAAATGAAATAAAATAAAAAATATAAAACAAAATAAAATAATATAAAATCAATAAAATTAAATTATATTATATTAATCAAAATTAAATTAAATAATAATATAAAATAAAATAAAATAAAATAAAACAAAATAAAATAAAATAGAATGAACTGAAATAGAATAAAATAAGTTAAAATTATTTTAAATAAAATAAAAGAAAATATAATAAAATAAAGAATATAGAATAAAAAAATTAAAATAAACAAATTAAATAAAATAAAAACAAAATAAAATAAAATCAAATGAAGGAAAATAAAAATTGAGTAAAATAAATTAAATAAAATAACATAAAATAATATAAAAAGAAGTAAAATTAAATAAAATAAAACAATATAAAATTTAACTAAATTAAATTAAATTATTTTAATTAAATTAAATTAAATATATATTAATATGAGCGAAATAAAGTGAAAAAGATTAAAATTAAACAAAATAAAATAGGAGTGGATATAAAAGAAATAATATAACTTACAGTGAAATAAAACGAAATAATAAAAAATAGTACAAAATAATATAATAAAAATTTACAGAAAAAATAAAATATATTAACCTTAGAAAATGATTCAAATTTATTTAAAATTAAATTATAAAAAATAAAACAAAAGTACAGTCAAGTAAAATAAATTAACAATTTATAATTTAATTAAATGAGATATATTAATAGAAAAGATTAAAATATTAAAATATGAAGCAATTTAAGACAAGCAACTCTGAAATATATTATACTATCAGTAATATAATTAATTAGAGTAAGGTAAAATTAAAGTAAAATTATTAAAAAAAAAAAATTAAATGAAATAAAAAAATAAATAATGATATAAGAAATAAAAAAAATTATAAAATAAATAAAAATAAGGAAATATATAGTAAAAGGAAATAAAATAAAAACATATTAAACAAAATATATTAGATACTCACCATCACCATAATTGATGCTCTGTAAATCAAGCGGTAAATCTTTCCTATTCTCCTCAACACCCTTCGAGGGCGTCGATATCATTGGTCCGGGACGAGGGTCAAACGAGTTGCGTGATATGATATTCAATTCCGGTTTTATTGTACCAAGGAATAGTTGTTTGTATTCATTTTCCAAACGCTTATATTGCTCCTCTGTGCCAAAACTTGCTTTATTTGACACCAAATACAACTCGATCTCATCGTTTGTCACGAATAAAACCAAAGATGGATGAGATGCAAGATATTTGGCATTCTGTGATGTTTCCACACGAATCGATTCAAGGAAAGCATCCACAACAGGATAGGTAGCGCCTGTAAATGCCATGTCCTGCCATACCATCAAGCCGTACTTGTCGGCGATATCGTAAAATGACTTTGACTCGTAAAGACCACCACCCCAGACACGTATAAGATTCATATTTGCATCTCTTGCGGAACGTAAAATGTGTTCCACTTTGTTTTTATTAAATTAAAAAATTCGAAAATGTTTTAGAAACTCGGTGTAATAAAAGTGTATATCTTACGGTTATCCGCATCGTCGTAGTTTTCAGGTAATATATGCGACGGTAGATATATTGCACCCTTCGCGAAAATGGGTACATCATTGACTTTAAAATAGAAAGTGCGCCCTTGGCCTGTAATGGCATTAATTGGTTTATATGACAAAATTTACATATTCTTACAAGTACCCTCTTCTAGATCCTCAACCAGCTCGACTGTTCTGAAGCCGATTTTCACCAATTGTTGTGAAACAGTTTTTGCCCGCAATTGTGGTGCTTCCGACGTGGCCCAACATGTGGCCGAGACAAATATTGGATAAAGATTTGCTTCACCATACCCATTGGGCCACCATAGTTTAACCGATTCCTGTCTCGTGGGTATAAATAAACTTTTATAATGAATACCTTTTTTTAAACAACATTTACCATCCGATTGCATTTTTCTGTTTTCTTACCTTAGGCACGGGCACCATAAATTTTACTTTTGGCGACTGATAGCTTATCACTGTTAACCCAACTTCGTAGGGATTTTCTTCCAAAAGATCCCTGAAATTTACAAATTTTAATTGTGTTTTGGGGTTTGTCAGCATTTTTAAAGCTTATAATTTTTTTCCGAAGTTATAAGAAGAATTGATTGTATTCCTGAATAGCATAGGTCTCGCGGGATTTCATCGCTATTGTAAAATTTCACGAGAAGCATATTTGTCAGCTGACGGTTGTAAAGTGCAAAAGTTCTTTCGAGATAACGGCTTGAACTCAAGTTATCCAGATGACTTTATGTAAATTTCCCTATTTCATAGTGTCGTAGGTTGGAGCTTTCTAAGGAAATACAGTGAACTATCTATTCTCAGTCTAGTCATAAATATGCGGAAAGCAAGAAAGCCTCTTGGCATTTTCGAAATAACAAAGAAATAGATGGTTTCCAATTGTAGGGCATTGGGGATTAATGGAACGTTGTTGGGTGGCAGAGGTTTAATTTTCAAAACCTGTTTGGAAATTTCGGCAATGAGTATCCAAATGACCCCTACTTCGCTGTTACACAAAGATAGATTTATGCTCCCAACGTTCGGTCTCTTGATATTGCATCTACAGATCACAACACAACAGAAATACCTACCACACCTTTCACTTCATTTAAAGCACTACATATAGCAGACGAAGAGCTACCTCGTAAGAACCTGTCGTAAGAAGGTCGTACCACCATTACGAATGCCATGGGTTCGAATACTGGAAAGCATAACATTCTAATTCCAACGAAAATAAATTAAATAAAAAAGTATGTTCATTTTTCACGTAAGCACCCCAATTGTTGGAAAAATAAATAAAATCACAATTTGGAAGGTAAGCTCGACTGAAAATCGCCCCAAAGGCTTTAAATGGCGCAAATTTTTTTGAGATAAAGATAAAAAAGACTAAAATATTTGGGAATTTGAACATTAAATCGGACCAAAAATTTATCAATTTATTATTATCGTAAGAAAGTGAGCATGGCTGGTTCCACTGAACGGCACAGCAGATAAGGCCGTCGATCAGATCGTCTAAGCCTCCCAAAACCATATAGGCTTCAGAGAATAGACGAAAGCAGATAGATGAAAAACATTTGAATTTTCAGAAGCTTATGAAGTCTCCTTCTTAGCACTTGTACAAAAGCACACTTGAGTATTTCTTTATATTGCAAGAACAGGCTACACCCGAACGTTAAGTGGTCAGAACAGCCTTGGAGACTCAGCTATAATGCCTACCCCATTAACTTTCTGTGGAGCACTACTCGTGGCAGGCAAAGAGTTATCTCGAGAGATCCGTGTTTTCTGAGCCATTTTTGTCCCTGTTTTTTTATAACTGTATTTGGACGTGGTCAAAATATTACTTCTTCTAAAGAATTCTGCTTAGACAGCAACAAACACAAAAAATAAGAGTGAAAAGTGTTTTGTCGACAGAAACGGTTGCATAGAAAAAAAGTAAATAACTACTATGAACGCAACCCGAAAGGTAATATCAACACTTAAACCGAATCGAACTGAATTTCGTTAAGCTCGTTTGTGGAATTGGACTTGTTCGTGGTTTTCAGAACAAAAACGAAAAAAGAAAAAAATTATTCACCCTCCAAAAAGTAAAATTACCGTACAAACCATGCAAAAGCTCTTTGATTCCATTCTCGACTCTCTTGCAAAGTTTCGGGCAGAAAATCTCAAATACGAAGGGCTCGTCTAGGCTAACTTCAAAAAAAAAAAAAAAAATCGATTGAACAGATATAAACGACATGTACCGAGGCTAGATGAAACGAGGTGAAGTAGGTTTTCCTACTATTCTCAATACTTTAATGGTATAAATGTATATATACATTAAGACCAGAAAGCTTCTGGATATCGCTTTTGCCTATATTTGGGGTTTGGTTAACCATGAAATCGTTCCAACGCCAATAAAGAGTAGAGGCGTTTGCGTAAAAACATCCATCGTAAACGAACGACCGGAATTGTGGGCCAAGAATTCATAAATTTTCATGATGATAATATGCCATCGCATCGAGCTGTAATTGTGTACGATTTTAAGAACAAAAATTCGTTCAATAACGTTGATCTACCTCCGTATTCACCGAATTTGGCACCATGCGACTCCGTTGAACCCATATCGACTTGATTGAGGCCGTAAAAAACATTTCGCAGAGCGAACTGAAATCGATTAATTTCAACTGCTGCTGCAAACAAACTGGTTTGACAGATCGCGCTCATTTTGGCATAATAATTAAGGACAGTGCTACCACCTTACAAAAAAAAGTGCTGAAAATTATTCTGCGCAGGCAGTTAAGAAGAAAATTTCCGGAATCTTTCTGGCCTTAAAAGGGAATCGTTCGGAAATTTAAACTTTTTAGGCATTGCAGACGCCCTTTATCCGTATCACTGCGCTGAAAACTTGAGAATTCTACTTCATATATGCCTGATAAAAAAGAACACAACACAGAAAGAAATACGGGACTGCCTAAACTTAAGCAAAGATTTGCTTTCCTCGCGTAAACTCCGACTTTATTCCTTGCCGAGATATATATGTATGTAAATCGATCGTGAATATACTTAAGTAAACATTTCAATTGTTATAAACGAAATTAGAGCAAGTCAGTTTTCCGTTTTTTCGACGGGTTAGAAACACAAATTCAATCATATTCAAAAGTACTTACGGTGCAAACAATGTGATATTGCCATAGAAGTCATGGGTGAGAGGAGTATTGAAGAACGCATGCACATCCATGTTCCAATGGGTGGTATTGGGTTCCACAGCTATATCGACATAGTGTAAAATTGCAACTTCATAGTATTCCAAAGTAACTGCCTTCCTGAAAAGTAGTATATACGTGTATGTATGTATGTATGTATGTATATAAACCTATATAACCTACCATATGCCCATCGAGGGCACTGCTGGACCAACCTCACTACCGAAACTCATTTGCATCTTACGCAGCATATTCCGGTGACATTCGCCCCTATACGAGGCTGGTGGACATTCAGGTGGTGCCTTCAAGCCCCATTCTAAGTCTGTGTGAGCTATCGCTTGAGCTACCCACACCGGTGATAGAATTTCAATTTCCAAAATATTTTCTTGTTTTAAATAACGAAAAACATCGAAATCATAACGCCTAAACATATTTTTTGTATTGCCGATGGTGATGTTGTTCAACCGAACCGTGGCCACAGTGTCAATGCCATGAAGTGTCAGATTTATTGCATTCACATTGGCCATCTCCTCTTGATTGACTGTAATTGGGAAATTTTACTTCTTTTCGTTTATTTTCTGGTATAATGATATTAGGTAATATCGAGAAATTCAGAATTCAGCATTACCATTGAAATGCCTTGTAAAGGTCCAATTGTCGTAAGACATCCATCGCAAATCCACGTCGTTCTTCGACTGTAGTACGTCACCGTAAGTTGTGCGCAGCGCGGAATAAACGCTTATTGGGATTTTGAGCGCAGACGCTGTTATGGCTACGGGAAGTATGAAAATATATTTATGTTAAGGGGTTACATAGGTCTTGAAAAAAAAGCTTATTTTCTCTAATTTTTTTAAAAGATACTAAACAAAAGATACAATTTAATTTGTTTATACAAAGTACAATATGTGAACAACATTTGATGAAAATTTGAAGGAAAAATAATATAATTTAAGGAATTGGCAGTGTCGTGAAGTACGAGGTGTGTTCAAAAAGTATCGCGAATTTTGAATTTTCGCGGGTTATAGTCGTATTTCAATTTTTTTGTGTCGTTAAGTTGGTACTCATGTCTGTCACTTATGCCCACAAGCTCGGCCATTTTGAATGTTCACCTAATTGTTGACAGCTGCTTTGCTTGCACTTGTTTTGGATGGTCTCCGATTTTTACCTATTCAAAAAAAGGGTCAAAGAACCTGCATCAAATTTTGTGTGAAAAACGAAATTAAGTGCGCGGATGCATTCCAAATGTTAGCCGTGGCATACTGAGGAGCTACCTTGGACCGAAGCAACGTTTATCGGTGGTACAAAATGTTCTCAGAAGGCCGAGAAGATGTGAACGGCGAAGAGTGTGCCGGACTACTCGGGCACTTCAACAACAGACGAAAAAATTAATTGCAAGGGCGTGGTGCATCAATGAGTTCTTGCCACAGGGTAGAACGGTCAAAGGGGAATATTACCTGCAAGTTATGCGCAATTTGCGCGAAGCAATCTTCCAGAAACACCTGGATTTGTCGAAGAACAAAAATTGGCTTTTGCACCACGAAAACGCCCCTGCTCACACATCGTTGCTTGTGCGCTACTTTTTGGCCAAAAACAAAACACTAAAGATGCCGCAGCTACCGCATTCACCAGATCTGGCCCCCTGTGACTTTCTCTTGTTCCCTAAACTGAAGAGGCCCTTGAAAGGACGACGTTAAGCTACGATTGATGAGATAAAGACGGCATTGAAGGAGGAGCTGAACAAGATTAAAAAAAATGATTTTTTAAAGTGCTTCGAAGATTGGAAAAAACGTTGGCACAAGTGTATAATATCTCATAAAGGGGACAAAATAGATATTCATAAATACACATAAATAAATAATATTTGAAAAAATACAAAATTCGCGATAGACCGTCCACAAGAAAGTGCTCTCACGGTAGTCCTGATTATCACAAATCCAATTTTTTTCTTAAAGTAGGTGAAGAAAAATAAAAAAAAATAAAAATATAAAGAACTTAATTTTTTGCATAAAATTAGGCCACATATTGCCTTGGTTCAGGGACTCCAAAAATATGCTTAAAAGAAGTATAGAAAATTTGAACTCGATCGCTTCAATAGTCTTTGAGAAATTTTGACTACCGATCTCGATGACATGGTTTTAAGAGAAACGCTTTTAAAGTTTTATCATCAGTCAAGCCATGGCAAAGTCGGCGGGTTATAAAACTCTCTAATTTCTAATGTTTCGTCTCAATCGACATGAAACTTGGGGAAAATATTCCTGATACTTGACTCCATTTTACAATGGCTAAATCCTCAGCACTAAAGAATTTCTATTTTTGAATATTTTCTCTGAAAATCTCGAACCGTTGTTTGTTTTAACTTCTCAACCAAATAAAAATATATTTGTTGGACTTATCTCCAATTACGAGTCCCTAATTGATCCGTACACTATATCTTTTTTCGCTATATAAAGGTTCATTAAACCCAGCCTGTTCCCTAAATTGAGGTTGTTTTAGACGTGTTGTTTGCAATATGGCCATACTTTTTTCGGATTTGGTCTTTTTGACAGCTGTCACCAGTTTGGTTTGAAATTTTATAATGATCACACTTAGTTCGGATCAACGTTTGAAAATCCAACAAGTTTATTATCAAAATATTTGTTTGGTTCACGCGATGCGTTATACGCAGCGTCCATTATTTTACCGAAATCATTGTACAACATAGCCGGTAATTCGAGTAATCATGGATCGATTTCGCCCCACTTTTACACTAGTGTCTGCTGTATTGAATCGATGAGCATCGAAGAAGACCCGAATGAGTTCATCCGACATCGCAAGCGACAATTAAATGCCGCATTTAGATTAACGATGATTCCGAAACTATTGTTCGGACGTCACCAAAGTCTCAAAACGTTGCTGTTTGTTATTATAGTCAACGGGGAACGCTATAGAGCCATGATTAATGAACTACTGGCAAAGGTGCATCAGCTTCTTGGCAACACGAAAGCACACCCAACGATGGCAACCAAAGTGCTCATCCAAATCTACAAAAAGAAATACACAACGATCCGCGCCATCGCTATCGTATTGTGTGAAAGACCCATGGCCATCGCCAACAAACTGATTGGACTTCACCAATGTGGCATTCGACCTGGTATACCAACCATGTGCTAAATCTTCAAAAATATTTGGAAAAAAGAGGACACATCTACACGTATGCTTTGTCTGAATCTCAATTCGAGTGTATAACTGCTATTGTGTGATCTGATATTGATATCATGGTCCTTAACAACTACACCTTTAGCTTTGGTTTATCTGGGCTTTATAAAGAAGCGAATCAAATCGGTATTGCAGAGTACGAGGACAGAACGAAATATCTCCTGTCATGAAATAAGCGGTCATCAAGGATGTCAACTATCTAAGAAACAGCATTAACACCAATATGTCACCCTTGAAATCCAACGCGGAATCACTCTTGCCAACAGGTACTACCTTAGAGTGAGTAGGCAATTGAAAAGTAAAGACCTCTCTCCACGAATAAAGACCGATCTCTAAAGGTTGAGTATCATTCTGGTGTGGAGATACGTTATAGAAGCTTGGAAGCATGGCAGTCTCCTAAAGAAAAGTTTTACAAACGATTTATGGTCCATTGCGCATTGGCAACGGCGCATACCGCAGGCGATGGAGCTGTGAGTTATACGAGTTATACGGTGGCATTGGTATAGTTCAGTGAGACAACGATTACGCTAGCTAGGTCATGTCGTCTGAATGGATGAAATCATTCCAGCTTTAAAAGTAATCGATGCAATACCCGTTGATCGACCCAGAAGAAGAGAAAGATCATATCTCCGTTGGAAATCCCATGGTACCCTGCTGAGGGTCGCCCGGAATTAGAAAATCTAACTTAATTTTTTATTTAAATTAATTGTCTATAATTTTTCTAGGTTGGTCGCACGGCGATTTGAGCCCGAGCCTTCCGAATGGAAGTGCGCAAAGCTAACCACTCGGCTACCGTGACCGCCATGTTTCCTATCACAAATATCATATCTGTACACCTTATTTTGTTGGTAAATATTTTCTTAATTTCACTTTTCATTGATTAATTTTTTTAAGAAGCCCCGACACTTTCACTGAATCTAAATAACTCATCGTAATGTAGATTGCTGTAATTTTAGTTTTGTGGGATTAGGGTTGCACTTTATGCCTCTACTTTTGTTCGATAATATTGTTGGATATGTGATGAAGAATTTCGATTTGGAATTAAGCTCAAAAACTCGTTACGAAGCTTAAAGGCTTAGATGAGATACCAAGATATAAATAGAAAATTAACTAATTTTGAGAGTTTATGTAACACCCTAATGTACGCCAATGTAAACTTATCCGATTATTTTTATATATCATATATATGTATGTGCAAACATTGTATAAAATATACACATACATATCATAATTAAGTATCGTCATATCTAATCCTCTATTGGCACGGTTATTAGTGTACACTCAATAAAATCAGAGCGTATTCACGACAAAAAAATTTATTTGTTATCTTATCAGCGGGACACCTAAGTGTTTCAGCCACTTTGAACACTTTGACAATATTGATTGATGTATGATTGAGTATACGTAGTGTTTAATAAACAGTATACGAAACGAAATGATAATACCGATATTTTTAAATAAATACAGAGGAAGAGAGATGAGAGAAAAGATAGAGAGAGAGAGAGAAATAATGCGGACGTTGCCCCGTACACCTACAAATTCAATCCAATAAAAAATTTCTTAAGAGTAATGTTTAAGAATGAGCTAAGCTCTTCAGCACTAAGCCATGTTTCGGCCAAAATTGGTATGATTTTTTTTTTATAAATACAAAATACCACCATGGCACAATTTTCAATACTTGGACGGAACAAATAAATCAGGACAACATTACTTTGTTCATAACAACCTAATTCCGAAAGTATTCATAGCAGGAGGGCGTAGACGATAACATTGTACCAGACTCTATTGGCGGATATAAGAAAAAGCTAGGGTATATATTAATTTTGATGAATTCGTTTCGTTTAAAACGTTATTGAAATAGTCGGTGAATTAAATACTATAGGTCATAAACAACTTTCATGGAAAGTAGGGAAGAATGGTAGCAAGGAGCTATGAATTCCTTGAATCCAATTAAAAGAACAAGTTTAGACTGTCTTCTGAATATTTTAAATCAATTTTTCCAATGAGAACTCTCCATAATTGCGATTTGGAAAGGCCAGATAGTAAATAACAGTTAATAAATAATCCAGGCAGATCAAAAAATCTGGACATGATCTCATTCTGACACCACATAAAACATATAAAAAAATTCAGAAAACTCAAAATCCCGAGCACTCCTAATAATAGTAACAATTCTTTTTAAGTGATATATGTATTTTCTTTAACTCATTGAAAAAACGAAACGATTTAAATATAAAACCCTGTAAAGCAACAATTTGAATTTTTCGCATGTGGCAACCCATATTTCAATAGATTCTTAACACACTCGCCTACATCTCTAGGCATTTTTATGAATGATTTGTTTTTTTAAATTATTTTTATACTCTGCAGAGATATATCTTCAGTATTTTTTGTCTGAATTGTGTTGTGACTGGCTTGTCTCGTGGTTGATTATGTCTTTCGGGATTTAGTACTTATTTCGGTGTTTCCTGCGTCGGGATTTCATTACACAACGTTTTCCTTTTCAGGTGAGTAGAATATTTAAATTGAATTTTTAATTTATGTCCTTCATATTTTTTCACTATATGTAGTTTTCAGTTTTCAAGTTTTTGAGCAGCTCGATACACGTTCGCTGCTCAATTTTCATTTTTTCAATTTTTTGCATTTTAAAAGTTTTTCACCTCGCATTAATAAGTTTAAAATGATAGTTAGAAATTCTGAGAAAAAGTCAAAGTTCTGGGGTTCGTGCTCGAAAACTCTCTAACAATAAGCACTGAACGGATGTTCAAGTATTGGTTGCAAATAAAATAAAATCTTGAAATATGGTTTGAAGTACTAAATCTCCATTTACTTTTTGTTTTATTTTTTACGTACAGTTCATACCATCGCTATAATACAGGGCTTTCCAATAAGAGTTGTCATTTTGATACTCAAAGAGATTTTCTGAGGTAAATAAACAGAGATATGCCTTTAGTAATGAAAAAAAAAATAACAGTCACAAGACCGCCACGGCTACGCTTAAAGTACCAACCTTTCCATCAGCAAATCGCAAAGTGGCAGCTTGACGTTCACGAATATCACGTGTAAGGTCTTGAATCGACGTTGGCCTATTGGCGCATACCTTTTCATTTAAGTGGTCCCAATAAGTCTCACTTCCTCGAGAGATAACTCGGGTCGGAAACTTTTCCTTTAAAAGATTGATTGCTTGCTTGTCTGGCACGTTGTGCTGTCACCATAAAAAATCATTAATCACCTCCCGATAGCGCAATCCATTCACTGTAACTGCTGCTACAACCTCATTTCCGAAAAAGTAAGGTCCAATGACCCAGTCGGATCATAAACCGTACCAAATAGTTACACGTTGGTAGATGGAGAGACTTTACAACAATAAAATTTGGGTTTTCCGACCCGCAGATGTGACAGTTTTACTTATTGATGTAGTCGTCGAGGTGGAAACGGTCCTCATCAGTCTGGATGATTTTCCGATGAAATTCTGGATCATTTTCATGCATTTCAAGTACCCAATCAGCAAAGACACGCCGTTGTTGATGATCGGGCGGCTTGAGTTTGACACAAGAACTCGACTTTATTGACCTTTAGACCCAAGTCTTTACGTGACATACGTGTACGTTATAATGACGTTTGTAGAATGCCTAATCCCAAAGAACGATGGGCTACAGCTGGAATGTTCTGAGTTGTTCTTGAGCCACGTGCGCACGTTTTATTCTTTACTTCACTAGCTTGTCCCAACCGCTCCTTTTTTCACCAAGGTGCCTCTCGACGACCCAAAATTGCTTTAGTTTCACGAACCGTTTCTCTCTGGTCTTCATAATTTTTATAGTGACTTTTAGTCTTTTCAATGCGTTGTTGTTCCAGTCTGTATCGTTCCAGTTTTATTACTGGCGTAGTTTTTACTGTTCAAATGTCAAATAATTACAGCTTCAAAAGTGGCATCTACCGGAAAGGCAGGCCAAAATACACCTCTTATTGGAAAACCCTGTAAATTGGGTTTTAATAAATACAAAATTGTCACTGAGCTTTTACACAGTATCTAATGCGAGTTGGGCAGTTGAAGTTTATACAAACGCTCTCTTTCCTCTCTCTCTCTGTCTTCTCTCACTCTCGCTCTCACATACACACAAGAAGAGATAAAAGTGTCTATTAGCATGGACATAAAATTAAGTTGTATTCAGCCAAAAAAGCGGTAAGACTTCTCAATTATGAGCTCTGTCAATAATTTGTACAAAAAACCACAAAAATCACAGAAGAAATACCAAATCACTTTTCCATATATCTGAAACCACAATCGTGCTGAGATTTTTATGAGCGTTTCAATGCTATAAATATTTGATGACACTTCCCTGACAATGATTTCAATACTTAGTAAAATAACTCCAAAACGTGTACGAGCTTCGTTAGTTGATGAAAATCACTTTAAAACACTATTAGTTTTCCAAATTTTTAACTTACAGCCATTTTGATTGCGCAGTGTCCACGAACTGGTCAATTCCACAACACTCACTTTATCAGCGCACACGTAAAAATCTCTGCTCGATATGAAAATTAAGTTTAATGCGCAGAAAAATAACTTTAAAGCCCACGACATTCTAGATTTTTCTTTAAAAGCAACACATTTCTGCTAATTTTGTGCAAAAAATTAAAAAAAAAATGAGCAAAAGTTCGCCTTATCACGTATAAAAAAAAAATAAAAATATAAATTCGAATTGTTTGATTTTCAATTAGAAATCATTCGACTTGTCGTCGCGCAGTTCCAATATCAACTAATTTCTTGATTGTGGCCTGTTAAGGTACGGTGGGTCTTGCATAGCCTCTGACTAGGCATGCGAGCACATATCAACATCTAAATATAAAATACATATATGTATGTACATATATATTTGCAGAAATCTATAATTGTTGCACTGTTAATTGGTTTTTATCAACCAAAAATGACATATGAATTAATTGAAGTAATCGGCAACTCAATTTAATATTGAATTAAATGAAGGTGTTTAATTAGATAACAGATAACAAGATCAAATAATAACTCCTACTGTAAGGTAATAAACAAAATATTAGTAGTTGTTATTTATTTATGACTTAGCTAATTGGTGGTAAATATAAATAGTTGGAGGTGTGCTCGAAAAATAACCAGCATTTTTGCTTGGTTTCCAAATATAAAGAGATTCTTTAGAGCCGTCTTTTTGTAGGCGCAACTAGAGACCATCTTAGAGATTGAGTTTGAGAAGGGTTTCCGAGATTGGAATGAGCGCTGGCACAACGTCGTGCTCGACTTTCATTTGCTTTATTATAAGGCGGCGCTCAAACTAATATATCGCGCTTCGCCTGGCGGTGTGTGATTTTTGCCGGTTGCGATCTGCATACGCGTTGTTTGTTGCTCTGCAGTGCCGTGAGATTTTATTGTGCAAGTTTTCATTATTTCAATTCTCGTGGTCTAATAATGCAGAACACAATAGAATGCGTAGCGCCCGTGACCGTGCCTCCTAATGGGACAGTTTAGTGCGGGCCAATGGTGATCAGCACCGGTGTGAACGTGTTAAAGGCGATAACATCTTTGTAGACGTCCAAGTAAATAATTTCGTCATAAATTCAAATTCTCGCAAGTTTTTTAACGCACCTCGATTTTTAATGCCACCTAGAGCTAAGCACCATAAATCGTTCGCAAAACCTTTCTCTCGAAAACCCCTAACGCCGACCCTTCAGATGTTCTCATCGTCAACGGGGATTATGAGCGAATTTTTAAGTTTAGTTCTTACTCGTGTCGAGAAAATCTTTCAAATCAATTTCAGTCCAATTCGAATTTGCCACCTGATGACAAGGCAAATTTTGTGTTGTATTTCAAAACAGGTCTGGTTGTTTTTGGTGTTGATTCATCTAAGGCTTAAAAGTCAACAGTAACATAAGAGCCACGACTGTTAGTTTGGTACCAGGATATATTACATCCTTCCCTTTTCTGACAGCGCTTCTGGTATTGTCCAGCATCAGTTCATATAACGGTGTAAGTTTTTAGGACTACCAGCGGCTTCTTTACGTTCTATTAAAGGCACTTTTATGTTCCAATGCCTTCGGCCGAACATATTCTGCAAAGAATCTGATGCTTACATCGTGGGAAGGATAAAAGGAAAGACTACGTTAAGCAACTTACACGGAGGTGGTTATAAAATATATAACGTGGTTTATGGACAATCCTTAGTTTATGTCATGTTGGCAAAAGAGCAGTTCTCGGTTTTTTTTCGCAGACAGGGTGTGTATGCAAATATTGTTTCGAAATGGGTTGAATTGAATACCATACCCGTAAGAAATAAGAACGAAGACAAAATATCTTCTGTCATCGATATACAACACGACCTCAGTTCTGGGCTACCACATATCTTACGAGATTCATAATTTTTAGGTTATAATTAATTTCGTTAACCTAAAGACCATACCATATCCGTCCTTATTTATGCTGAGGGAGAGTGGCCTTGAGGGGTTGATGTAAGCAGGTTTTCATATCAAGATTTCTAGTCCCTTTTGTATGAGAAACGGTTAATTTCGCAAAGGATGCATGAGACACAAGTAATACTGGCACAATTAGTTTCTGAGTACGGGAGCAGACTCACATTATCCAGACTCGAACCCGACATACTCAACGTACGCCCTTACTACAATGAGTCTCTGCGCTTCGCTAATTATCCCTATTAACTAAAATCCATTCATCTAACATCCCTCAACCTCCGATGCGTAACCGCTAAAATAAATCATTTCCTGAGTCACCCGTTAGATGATCTTGGGGACACCCATCTAGTTTTGCCAGACCTTATACCACGCCAACTGAGTCCTTAATTGTGATCCTCCATATTTTACCATTAGCTGACAAACTGCAGCGCTTGCTACTCTTCGCCTAAGGCAGCTGGTTCAGTGCAATATTCAAAGACTTGGAAAGTTACAATTTCCTACCAAGTAATTAGTAGTTGGAGGAGGTGTCTTCTCAAGAGACTCACCGTTTGAGCTCTTTTTCAGGCTGCTCGATCATTGCAGTGTATTTCAGGCTGTAACCTCAGCTATTTGAGAGGCAGAAAACTACATTGCAACTAAGCTTACGAGACGGGATATTTTTATTATCAGCGATGGTCGGGCAGTGATTAAGTCAATTGGCTCGCTTACAACGATTTAAAAAGTGTGGTGAGTGGTCGTCGATCTCTGCAAGACAAATTATCTCTCTTGTAACAGGGACATATATTAAAATTAAAAGATAGACGGACTGGGTTCAATCACGATCAAGAACAAATTGATATGATTTTTCCTACATGCAAACTGCTGCTCAAGCAGGCCAAATTGAGATGATCCCACACTACAGCTTACAGAATTTCTAAAAAAATTTGTCCGAAATAGGACCGAAAAGGCTAAATATCCTCTCCCAAAAGTAAGGACTTCTCTAAGGTTGACCGGTCACTGATAGACACTGCGCCTCTAAATTAACCAAAATCGCTGCCTTCATTTCGTTGCTAGTATTGGTTCAACCATGGATTCGAAATTTTACCTGTCTGAAGAGACTCGGCAATGGATTATAGATCAAAAAGGTTCAGATACTAGTTCTGTAAGTCAAGTTTCTCAAGTCGGGCCGGAAGCAGAATACGCTGATCGACCATTTATATATAAGAAGTAAGCAACTTTCTAAAATAGAAGCGATTAATTTCAATAGAAATATTTAAAATATTTTTTTCGAAAACTTTTACTTTAATAAATTATCTTCAACTACACTCGATCAATTAAGCTTATTGTCAAACTGAAAACACATCGGCAATATATCTGAACGTATTGGTTTTATAGGCGGTCAGCTGTAAGCCGACATAACCATAACCCACACCACCCTCGGTGACGCGACAATCCAAATCGTTTGATGTCATCCAAACATCTACTTGAGCAAATGCCACCTCATAGCCAGTGCCGGATTTGGGACAGCGCAGTTTCAAGTTCACATCGTGTGGGGATTCCCAGCGCGTATTGTCCTCAGCGAAGCACATAACATTTTCTTAAAGAGAAATATATAACAAATTTATAACCCTTTATAATTTGCCATAATAAATTTTTGCTCACTTACGTGTACGCTTCTTGCCCACTGTGCACAGGTAATGATACTCATTGTTGTCATCCAGACTGCTGCTAATGTCCATGCGTTGCGCCATCATATCGAGCTGTACATGAGAACGGTCAGTGGGTCCATCATCTGGTGTAGTAGATCCTGTCGCAACATTTGCTTGGGGCTCCTTTGTTGATTCGGAGATTTCGGTGGTAACGCCTATGGGCTTAGTGGTTGTGGGTTTGGTTGGATCAGCCGCTGTGGTTGCACTCACCAGTAGAGCGGAAAAGAGTATAAATTTCATGTAAACAAACATTATTCATGTGCGATTAATATAAATTCCAGTTCTTTGGTCTATGTCAAGGCAGCGAACAATGCCAACTGTTAACTCTGCTTGCCTACTCTTTTACTTTTATATCGGAATTTACTCTGGTATTATTTCAAGTGTGACATACTTTCGTACACATGTATGTACGCCAAAAAAGAGTTCTTTTCCTATATGTGGCAATAGAGTGTTGGCTATTTATGGCGCCTGTTGCATTCATTTAACTAATTACTTATGCAACAATGCCTTAAGCGTGAGGTGACGACACAGTGGGTGTTGTAGAACCACTGGATATTTTCGCATATATTGATAAAGCACCGTTGCCTTTGTACATACCAGACGTGGAAGCTCCATAGGCGAATGGCTCAGTAGGGCAAGCGTAAGTGTCATTGCACCGAAAAATGTTTTATTGTTATTTATTAGCGGCGAACACCTATTGGTGAGACATTGGTCAATATAATCAGAACTAAATATAAAAAGAATGTTTGTACAAAGAAAATAAAAAAGTAGTCTCGTATACTCGTACATGAAGATAGCCCACATACAAGGTTTTGGGAAAGAAGGTTACGCCAATGACAAAGTCAAATATTAGGTCAAGTAAAAAGTTCGTGCGTTGTGGGATAGTTACGGAGAGTTGAAGAAGGAAGCAAGGCGCATGTGCAGACGAAAGAAGAGATCGAAATGTTTGAGTGTAAAAAGCTGGACAAGAGTTACGTACGTAAGTTCTATGAAAAGATACCACGGTTCACATAAAGATTCAAGACCGGATCACACAACTGTGGGAACCAATGTGGATATTTGGTGAGCAATGTCCGGAGAATACTTGGTGTATTGAAGCAGCAATTCTACAGCTTGCTTAGTGACAGTGATAATGCAAAACCCAGAGATGGTGAGCCCGTAACCCCAATCGATAATGATGGATAATACGTTCTGACTATGACAAGGCTCGAATAGTGATTAAAGAACGACAACGGTAAAAGCGGAGATGGTCCTTTTTTGCAAAATATACATGAATGTTAGCATACCCGATGATTGGAACCAGAGTATGCTCTGCCCAACCATTGAAAAAGGCACAGCAACTGCGCCAATTACCGTGGTTTTAGATTTGATCTTTTCATCGATTTTAAAGCTGTCTTTGACGGATCGTTAAGGAGCTGTCTCTACGCCGATATGTCTGAATTTATTATCACCGCCAAACTTATGAAAATTATTTTCAATATTTTTTGTAAAAATAACAAAATAAAACAAACGTTGCTGATTTCAGAAATGTGAATACTTTAAAAATTTTTAAACGTTTTATCGTACAAAATTTTACTACTAAGCCAGTAGGGGATTGATAGTTTTATTAAAAAGATATAATGTTTGCTTTTAAACTCTCTTCTGTACATTTCGAAATTTACCAAAAAGCTTTGCAACATTATATATATATTTTTTTTTTGACTAGTAATTATTTTGACGTATTTCTCTACGACTGTAACTCTAATTTTAGCTTTACAGCGCTCTAGCAACTAAATATTTTGAGAGCCCACACTTTGGTGTAATCATTAATATTTCTACTTAAGCTTTTGCATTTAATTTTTAGCCAAGACAATTACGAATCGCACAGTTTGACAGCCAACACAAGGTAACAAAGTATATATCAAACTGTTTTGGCTGAAAATAAGTCAAACTAAGATTTTAAGGCAATAAACAAGAAATAACTAGAAGACCAATTTTGTGGTTTAACCACTTCTTATAAATAAATACTTAGACATGTAAATATGTGTATATATATGTATGTATGTTCGTATGGATGAGTTGATTAGTATCGGTATATCGGCAGATTTGGAGCTGCCGGAAATGTAACACCTTAAGCGTCAATATAAAGGCAAATATAAAAGAAATAAAATACAAAAAAAAAAAAAAAAAATACAAAAAAAATTGAAAGATTATATGTACATATATCAAACAGTAGTAAAATAAATTTGTTTGTACACATGCATATTTTTAATTTTTTTTTTTGAGTGACAAATACTTCTTATACCCAAGCCGTAATCTACTTGGTAAATGGGTAAAGTGGATATCTGTCATTTACGTACATACATACATGGGCTTTTATGAAGATTGTGATAACAGCACAATTGAAATTACTCTCACACTACCACATCCTCCCCGAACCACCCTGTGGTATTGATAAAGTTAATTGATCTCCACAAATTTCCCTGTACAAGTTCTGATATATCGCCAAAAAACCGAGGCCAGTAGTTCTTGCTCTCGCAAAGAAGATGTTCCCCAGTCTCTTCTCCTATTACCTGACAGTTTCCGCCCTAATCCATTAAGTATTTCAAAAGAAGAGATAGAGTTAAAAAGACTAATATATTTATGCTGTAAAAATTATTTGTCGAGACTGGTAACATTGGACCATTATACCATTTGTTCAGATATGAAGTTTTGGACAAAAAATCCGTTAAAAAATCAATGCCTGAATACCTCGTAATATCCTCATAGGTGCGATAGCGAAGTGATTAGTAATGTGTATTAACATTCTGAAGGTCAGTATTCGAGTGCGGCATCGATCAACATCCAAGATTATAGGAAATTAATTTTTAAATTTGCTGTCACCCCACAGCGGCGAAGGCGGCTAATAATAAACTGTAGCTCCACCCATTTATATGGAAAATATCAAGTCGTACGGCGACATTTACACTTAAAATCATCGAAATCCGCGGCCCTTATCATGTGGCCCTATACAACCGATTTGCTCAAATATGGGTATTAATATGCAATCTTAAAATGAATTGCCATATATTTTATGTGGTGAAAAGTACAAAGACTTCGGCAGTGCCAATAATTGCTCTTCCTTCTTTTCAATATTATGACCGTCAGATTAGATATAGATAACACATTCTAGTTTTTTGATCGAGGAAATTCATCAGTTTTAGACTAAATCATAGTAAAATCTGCTTATCAAATTTAGTTAAACCGAGCAAATTCGTTACATTCAAAAAGACTGAAGGAATTAAATCAATTCAGCTCGTGGTTCTCATCCGAGCGGTATACATATTTGTGAGCAATCTCTATCTCATGCTTACCCTTATATATTTCCAAAGTTAAAATTTCATGAATAAGAGTAACTTGCCTTCGTTTTGTAACAATACCAATTACGAATGTTTGAATGTTTGATCACTATTGACTCGCTCTTTGTCTTCAAGGACTTCTACGCGATAGGTTTTTGAACAAAAAAAAAAAAAAAAAAAAATAGCCTCGACAACTCACAACTGATTAACAGAGATTGTAGGTCTCTCTTTAGCATTTTTTCTCTCTCCTTTTTTTTGACGGCAAAACCAAGAAATCGTAACCGATCGCTGATCTGTCTCTGTGCATTTTTCAGAACTCAGTTTAAATTTATTAACGCAAAGGAATTGCTTTTGAGCTCATGAGCTCGTTACTGCAGGACAATGCGCAAATGCGTGCTCTTTTGCTATTTGCATTTGCACCAAGATGGATCGTGGGACATCAGCACGATTGTGAGCTCGTAAGAATCTGTGGCAAGCACTACAGAACGTCATTTCAAGCACGCTAAGCGCTGTTGTGGTATAAAATAGTTGTAAGTTAGTATTTACCACCAGAGTTAACCATTCGAAAGCCTAAATATATATCAAAAAAATAAAAATTACTCATATGCCAAAGCATGAGTTAGAAACTTAGAAAGAGCATACCATACCTCGATTAGTCTTTTCATGCCATTTAAAGAATGGCACGATAACGAACAAATGGGGCTTCTAACTATCCGGTCTTAAGGCAGTAGTCGGTTTTAGCGGCTTAAAAAATGTAGTTTTTTTTTTTTTTTGAAATAACCAAGAAAATGTCTTCAATTGGCCGATGCGACAAATTTTTGAAGATAGAGCAGTTTTAATGTGCGAGCGCAGAGCAGGTTCGAAGGCTCAGGTAGAATTTGGAAGCGCGTTTTCTCGGATTTTTTATTTTTACAAATCTTAGAAAACAGTGCTGGTGATAGCAAAAAGAATATATTTCCGATCGATTTCGAAAAAAAATCAAAGTGATCTAGCTAAAGATTAAATTATCTTCTATTTGAATTGAGAAAGTATTTTTCGGAACTTGAAGTGATTTTTTTTTCAAACTTCGAAAAAATTTTAGTTCATATAGTCGTTTCTATAAAAATTAAAAAAAAAAAAATTGTTCGATTGCTTCAAATGCATCACACGACCTTCATTCATCACCGGCACCGTTTCAGGAGCTTAGACCGCAGCCGCTTCAAAAAACTTATCACAACACTGGAAGATTCCAATATTTTTTGATACTAAAAATTTTTTTTGGAAGCTTAAATATGGTGCATTTTTGTCTTAAAATTTCGTTTACCGCAATAATTTCATGCCCTTTCAAAGAAATTGCTGAAAATATGCTTTTTTTTGGGTTCTAAAGGAGACTGCTGCCTTAAAGCCTGATAAGTTTCTCTATGACAAAACGTGATATCTTTTCACGGGTTTGTTCAAAAAAGTTTGAAATTCTGTACTATGAAATATCTAGGCAAAAGGACCGAGCTGAAAGGTTAACCCAATAGTGATTGTTTTTTTGTTCTCTCCGATAAGTTAACACAAGACCGAGTACTCATTCATAGAGAAACAAAGAAGTTTTTTTGTTGCTAATTAAGTTTTTAACTTTTTTAAACTCTTATTTAAACTTTGTTCTCTTTATATCCCAGCCAATTTTCATTTGCACTGTTTGCGAGAGAGTAAGTGGGTAAGAAAGAACAACAAAACATTCACGATCAACAAATAAAATAGCCGGCAAAGCAATCGCCCAAGTCAGTTGCCGGCAAACTTCTGCTCGGCTCATATCAGACTGTGTTGTGTTTGTGTGTGTAGTAAATGTTTACCGCTGTGCTGAGTGCAGAAAAGAAATTTCAAACAAGCGTTCAAGTGCACGCAACAACAATAAAAACAAACAAAAATAACAAATAAGTTGAAGAATACACGCTTCATACACAAATAGCTCGTGCTCAACTAATAAATCCATATTTATGTATATTCGTGCGTCCGTATGTAAATGAGCAATTGTCAATTATAAACTGCGAAGGCGAATTATGGAGCAGAAAAGTGTTGTAAACTTTACAAACTGGCGCGCTGGTCTAATTGCTGCGCTGTTCTGCACTGTTTGGCTGAGCTTAGGGTGTGGGCGTGTGGATGGGGAGTCAGTTTATGTGCAGGACTTGAAGGGCCTATCATGGACGCTAACGAATGGCACTTACAGTGAGTATATTCACGCATACATATACGAATATACATATATATGGAAATAAATATAATAATATTTTTTTTTGACTTTGTGTACTAAAGTATTCCGGCAATTGTTGCGTTTGGGAGGTGCGGTTTGTGTGTGTGTGTGTGGGTTTTTTTTTTCAAAGTACCGTCAGCGATTTAATTTGACGCGTTGTTGAATACCGTCGTTTATTTTGTATACAAAACATATGTATATATTTACTAGATTGTGTTTAGATATATAGATAAGATAGATTTTTAAAAATTTTATGTTTATTACCGTTAATAATAGACGATCAACTGTGCGCTTAAGCATGGAATTTGGCATTGATTATTAGGGTGTGATCTATAAAAAATTAATAGATAAGAAGCTTACAATTTACGTAAAAAAAAGGACAAAAAATGTGTCTTGGTCGTGTAAACGATCGTAATTATAATATCGTAATTGCAAATGAGTGTTTATTCTTTGTAATGTCAAATACATCATCCCTGCATTTTTCCGGTATAAAGCCTCATTTAGTCACCTATTTACTTCTCACTCAGCTTTACGCGAGTACATTGTTGAACCCCTATACCGCAGGAACTAAGATTACTAAGTTATGCTCAGCTTAAAAGGTAAGGGAATTTCTGAAATCTTTCTGAAGCTCCTCAAATCCATCATCTTTTCTTCACGAGATCACCGGTAGTTGAACGAAGCGCTTAGCTTCATACAATGCTTGATTGAAGAGTTCCTGTTGGGCATGAGCGACTCTTCTCATCTTTCTAGCTGTAGAAATCTAAGGGAAACTGGCTAAAGAAATTACGTGGGTTTGAAGGGTAAGAAAATAGTGTTCTGCAGGCTAAAAATACCAGCTTTCATAATAATTGATTACACTGTGTTTTACTATGATTTTGACTATACAAAATTCTCAAATGTTGTTAGCTGCTTTACTTCTTTACTGGGCTGGACAACAATTACGCGATTATAATTAGGTTAACAACAGGGGACTGTTTTGACGCCGATCCGTAATTCTTCCCCTGAGTGGAAGCCTTGCTCTTCCCTTGCTTCCAACGACGGGTACTTCATAGAATAATTTCGAAGCTAGAGTGTTCCATATCTGTGGTACCGAGACCAAGCCAGCGTAGCTGCTGTCTCTTGATTCGGCTGCGATATTACCCTTTGTCAATGCTCAAGAAGCATAAACCTTCCGCAGAATCTTCCCTCGAAAACTCATGACGCCGACTCCGTTCATTTACAAGTACTTGAATCATGGCGTACTTGTAGAGTACGGTATTTGCCGGCCAAGAGGGAAATTCTGTATTCAATTCAGTACTCGGTACTAGGGAGTATTTGTTGTCAAGAGTGATTTTACGTTGGGCTTCAAAGGCTCACATTGTTTGTGGTGTTAAGTCCGGCTCCAAGATAGAATAAATTATCTACAACTTCAATGTTGTGACTGTGACAATGACATGAAAGTCGAGTCGGGAATGTGATGATTGTTTGTTTGCTGACCGTGCTTATTTCGTCTTTTCCCCTTTCATTATTAGAGTCAACAGCGCGCTTGTGCACGCTTGCTTAATTTAATAAACATAATTGGGCAATGACTCATTTCAAGCAAAACGAATCATGAAATATTTGGCGCTTTAAAGTTGCTGAAGGAATTTTCCGCCGAGCTTCTCCTACTACAATACTTGTGGTTTGTATCTTGATGCTCTTTCAACATATGGAAGAACCTACTATTTACAATAAGCCACCTCCCAGGCACTGGTGGATTTTTATGAGAAGAAATTCATTTTCTTTAATTTGAATTTTGGTCTGGTCAGAGTACAAAACCGGAATCTTTTGGTAATTACTCCAGTACTGCAACCCTTGAGAGAAATATTTTTTTTATAAAATCCGCAAGGTGGCATTTGCTTTTCTATTTGCATTTTTTCAGAGTCAAAATAATTAAATATTTATGTAGGATTTCTTTTACCGCTGCTCAATTATATAAAAAACTATGTTAAAACTTAAAAATTGGTATGTCCGATCGGGTTGGTTCTTCAAGCTATACTTTCTCTGTCCTTTTGTCTAACGTAAGGTCTGAGTGTTCCTTCCGTTCGATTAGTGTTGCCTGCGGGCACCCAGTTTTGTCAAATGAACAGGGATGCATGTTAAAGTAATAAATAGTTAGCTCTTTAAAAGTAATGTCCACTCCTAGTTGCTCGTCCGTCAATCTCACATGTATGTATGTATGTATACAGCTGAAAAGCATTTCTTATTTCATCAAAAAATTGCCTGTCAAAATTTAGAGCCGTTTTGTTCAAAAGAGCATAAGAAGGGTTCTTAGCTACTGGAAATAAATTTTTTAGCTGAAATTTGTCAGCAAGTAAGCAGCTGCTAACAACAGCTGTTAGCGAGTAAACAAAATAAAAAATAAAAAATACAAAATATGTTTCCAAATTTATCTTACAAACCAGAAATCTGTAAAGTCAAAAATAATTTTTCGTCACGATTAATGATAAAATTAAAAAGCTAAATGATCAATAAAGTGATCATCCTTTTCTGAGACTTTCCCTCCTTCTGGATAATGTTGCCTAACCAATGGAGCCACTAGATCTTAATTTGGTGGACTGTGTGCAGATCGTTGTAAATTTTATATACCCCTTCGTAATAGTATCATCTTCCAAGTCTCTGCAATATACAATAGAATGGTTATGGTAGCTCTCACTTCGGTGAGAAGTGTGGAAGTAACAAAAGGAGAAGATCAGAATGACATGATCTGTTTGTGTGTTGACTAGTCCCGCGGATTTTGAGATATTTCAACCACTGATGTACTTTGTACACAGATGTAATTTTTACATTCAAACGATCACTTTTCGGAACCGGCCAAATCAGGCCACTATAATATGTTTATTCACTTTTTTATGATTAGAGATTTTTGGTAATGAATCTGCGAAAGAAACATCTTCGAGGTTGTAATTTAGTATTTCTATTTTGATTTAAGTATTGACACCGAAAATTAGCGAAATTGGAGGACCATAACGTACACGGTGTGTCCCAAAAATAACCGAACTTTTTGGATATAAAGTAAAATACACATTATATTATCTTTGAAAGTTATTATTTATTTAAAATAGGTTCCATTTGACTCAACACAACGTTTGGAACGATCAACCAGCGCATGTATAGATTTTTTTATGTCATTTATACAATAGAAATGTTCTTCAGTACCGCGGTTACGGCTACTTGAATGGCTGGGATGTCATCATAAAATGCTCCCTTCATCTTGGTTTTCAATTTTGGAAATAAAAAATAGTCACATGGTGATAGATCAGGTGAATACGCAGGATGGTCGATGAGAGAAATCCCTTTTTTCATTAAAAATTCGAGCGATTTTTTGGTCGTCATTTAATTCATGTGGAACAAATCGCGCACAGACCTTTCTTTTCCCCAAATCTTCAGTTAAAATTCTCCAAATAGTATTTTTACTCATATTCAATTCCTCAGCCAACATTCTCGTTGTAAAATTTGCATCGATACCAATGATTTCACGGACTTTTTCCAGCAGTTCAGCACGATTACTAGTTTCTGGACGTCCTGCTCTAGGGTCATCATTTAAGTCCTCACGACCATTTTTAAATTGTGTAAAATACGTATAAATTTGCGTACGACTCATACAATCATCACAATGAACTTTTTTCATTAATTTTTTTTTTTCAAGTTAGACACAAAATGTTATATTTGCTCTTTGTTCCATTTTATTTTTGAACCATTAGCACACTTTTGGTTTTATTGAGATGGCTGTCATTTTTACATCTGTCATCCGACTTACATGATGTTAGGTGCGTTTGAAAGAGGATGAATGTATCTTTTTAATGTTGCAAATTTTCAATAGATGGCGCTGTATGTTGTATGATTTAAATATAAAGTTCGGTTATTTTTGGGACACACCGTGTACAGCTTCCATTCAACTGATTTGTTCAGAAAATATTATTTAACCCTGGGAATTTGACTTGATATAGGCGCTTCGGCATTACCGTAGACAGTTCTCTTTTCTTGTTTATTTTTTATAAAATTTTCATGTGAAACTCCTGCAAATATTCATGATTGTTCTTCCGAAGAAAGTTTTGTGTAGACTACATTTTAATGAAAATAAAATAAACTCAATTTTTTTTGGCTGCGAAGGGATATATTGGGAAAACTTCCTGCTTTTCGTAGATCGTAATAAGCTTGTTCATAGCCGCAGATAATGCCAGAGTGATCTTATCATCAAAACCAGTAATAAGTATAATATTTTCCAGCTCATGGATAGTTAATATATTTACGGGTAAGATCCGCCACCTTGGGATAAAACTTCTACATTTTGTTGGCTATTCCTTCTGGCTTTATAGAAGCCTTCTTATGTAAGTGGGCTCCCCTTTAGGCCTTCCGAAGTTGGGTAAATGTAAATTTTGTTTTTTTTTTTTACAAAAATTGATGGGACTTAAGTTTTTTTGATTTTAATCATGCTTCATAAGTCACTCACTGAGCATGAATTGGCTTTTCCTTTTTTCAGATCCACAAAGGCGATAGTGTTTCTTCATTAAGGAAAGAAATTTCGGTAAAGTTTAGAATAACCTTAGGACGGAAACGTTGTTAGGTCGGCGAAAGGTTGGCAGACAGCACTTGACCAGATAAAAAATTTGGGTAAATTCCGGTGCGCAGAACTCGTTGTCGTGAGCATCGTAGTTCGCCGTGAAACCGTCATCACCTTCATAAACTCTCTTCCTATGAATGGCATTTTCGAAATTGCCAAGCGCCAACTATTGTAAACCAAGTGTCCGAGTTGCCTCAAGAGATCCAAACAGTACTGTCACAATTAAATCTGGATATTGTAGTAGACTTAATCCCTACTAATTACTGCTGTCATGAGAAACCGCACGGCGCTAACCACATATTTGCATATCCTCTAAAACTTGTCCGAAATCATCGTAACAGCCCGTTTCCTGAACCCCCGTTAGATGAACTCGATAACTTAGACCAGTCTCGGCAGCTTTTAGACGAGTTAGAGAATCCTTACAATAGCAACATATTTCGGTAAAAATGCGCATCTTCAGCCAAGCGATTTTTTGCCCAATGAGCGAAGTGAAATCGCACCGAATGGTCATAAGACTTCCACTGGGAACTTTACACAAGCTCATGTGCAAATAAGAGCTGAAAGTGGACGGAAAGAGCATGTACTAGAATTGTTTTGTTCGACGGCCGAAACTCATTGTAAAAGTTGGCCCACAAACTGTCTGAAAGGCGAGTTATTTCGGTCGAATGTCGGGCGCAATTTTCATAACTTGAGGTTGAAAACTGACCATTTTTGGAAGTAATTTTTCAATATATTTCCTTCAAGCGCAGGCTTTATTTAATTGTACAAAAAAACACCTATCTTATTTGCTAATTTTATAACTGTAATTTTCAGCCAACACTAAAGTGAAAATACCTTCGGGAGTATACAGCGCCATAGCAGGGGAAGATGTGCTCAAGTCCTACAACGATGTGGATATGCGTTACATTTCATACGACAACTGGACATATTCCTTAGAGTTTGCCGGTGCGTATGAGCTACCTACATATGCACATTAATTACACTTTGTTGTTGTTATTCATTAACTCCAAAAAAAAAAACACCATAAAAATACACTTCAATTTGGTTATTTATTCAGAGGAAATTAAAGATTCGCGTCTAGTCAACCTCACATTTCATGGCATTGACACGATTTCGGAAATTTACCTCAATGGCCATTTACTCGGCCACACCGACAATATGTTTGTGCGTTACACCTACGAAGTGGGCCACATTTTGCAGGATGTGAACCGATTGGTGGTGCGTTTGATATCGCCCGTGCATGCGGCGCGTATGCGAGCTGATGCGTTGACGGCGCGTAATATGTCTGTGCCGCCCGCGTGCCCGCCCGCCAGCTATCGCGGTGAATGCCACGTGAATATGCTGCGTAAAATGCAGGCGAGCTTTTCGTGGGATTGGGGCTTGGCGGCACCGTCAATGGGTATTTGGTAAGTGGCATGTACTCGTATGTGTGCTCGTATGTGTATTGTATAAGTATGAATACGAATTACGTTTATTTGAATTATCAATTATATCTTTACTAATTACGAAATATTTGTGTGCGTCTCCACAGGAAACACGTAACGTTGGAGTTCTATGAGGTGGCCTTGATTCGTGATGTGGATGTGGCAATTAGTCGCAATGAGACACATTGGAATATGCATACGCGCGTTTTTATTGATTCCGGCGGCAGGAAAGATTTCTATGCTGAACTTAAATTCTATGCGATGTAAGCAGCTTGGACGTTTACATCTTACTTCTTTTGTTAGAAATTATGATTTTTTGCATATTTAAAATTTTCTTCTTTTCAATTTTAGTGAACTTATGGAGGAACCCGTGGTCATAAGTACATATGCCAAGAAGAGGCTTTCATGGCACAATCCAGTTATTACTTTCGATCAAGCATTTCCCATTGTAAGTATGGGGGGCATTTGGACCTGCGATCACCTTTTAGCCACTCTGTGTAAACTTCAGCCGTACAACGATCGGTCATTAGCTGAAAAATGCGTCAAGACGGGATTTAACAAAATAATCCTTCATTCCATTTTACAATTAAGTTTTTCCTATTGCACACACTTATCACGACTACAACGGGTCTTTAGATTTAGATTGAGGGCTGTGCGGATCCTCGCTGTCAAACCACGATATTGTCTAAGGGTATCACTTGAAAAGAAATAGTTTGTTTGCTATAAATTTTCCCCCAGAAAGTTACTTCGCTCAAGAGCAGGACACCTTTTAGTAATCCACTGATCGCGTGAGTAAAGACTCATCGGACGTGACAGTATACCAAACCATACACGAAGAAACCACTAGCAACTTCAGAAAATAAAACACCGCCATAAGAGCCTAAGCTTCCTTGGTTGCAGCATGAAAAGCTGACATTTCCATATACCCTTATTGCCGTAATTACCGCTGATGTAATTTTAGTCGAATAAACAATATCGCGCTATTCATCCATTCCTTTCGCTGTTTGGCGCCAGTTGAAAATTCCAACTGAAACAATGTCGCTCTCCACTTAATTTTTCCAACGGTATGGAGGTCTTTCCCTTCCTCTGCTTCCACCGGCGGGCAGAGCATCGAATACTTTCAAAGCTGGAGGGCTTTCATCCATTCGAACGACATTACCTTGTCAGCCGCTGTCTCTATACTTGCTGAACTATATCAATATAATTTGCGCTTTGTAACCGCTGAATCGATTTTTGGCTCAAGATGTTTTTCCAACAAATGGAGGGACCTACAGTTTATACTAAGCAACCTCCGAACGGATGATGGTTTTTTTTTATGAAGAGCTTTATTTCATGTCAGAAATATACTCGGAGGGGTTGACATTTCCTGTCGAGGGGCGATCGCAATTAGAAAATTTAGCTTAATTTTTTATTTAAATAAATTTTCTATAACGACACTAGAATTTGAACCCGAGCCTTTCGAATGGCAGCACGCAATGTTAAACACTCGGCTACCACGGCCGGAATACCATCGTATGACTCGTATAGCTCATGGTTTACATCGTCTCGAAGACTCCCAGATGTCGACATGGTCCACGTTTCTGCACCATATAGTAGAAAGGTGATATGAGGGACTTGTAGGGTTTCGTTGTTGTTCGTCGAGAAAGGACTTTACTTTTCAATTGCCTACTCAGTGCCAAAGTGGAACATATTGGCAAGAGAGATTCTGCACGGGGTTCCAAGGCTGATATTAATTTTAATGTTAATGCTGTTACCTAAATAGACGAAATTGTCGCGAATGCGGTGACTCTTTTACTACCAGATCCGTTCGATTCGCTTTTTTATCAAGTCTGGGCAATACACAACTAACAGCGCGGTTGTTAAGGTCAACGTCCGTTCCCGGCAACAGTAAAGTTTGGAGTTTGTAGCTGCTTTATTTCTTACCCATTCAGGCTTGACACTGCCATACTCAACGTATTTTCTATATGCGAAGAGTTGCTTCATCTTGTGTCTCACTTCCTTTGATCAGAGCCTACCCTATGCATGAGGAGTTGCTTATCTCTCTGAAAAGATCGTCGAATGTGCCTTGTGTTTTTACGTCTTTTAATTTTTCCAATTCGGTTAAGTAGACTAATTGATATTTCTTACTCAAATCGTATGCCACATGGAGCATAACAGATGCTCATTCTGTTATGCTCCACTAGACCTGATCTGTGTGCGATTGAGCTCTCAGATAAGCCAGGACTGAACGCGACGTAATTTTTTATTACGATCCCGACAGCATGCAAGCAAATGTCGCTCCTACTCACGGAACGTTCTTCTTCTCTCATTTTTTCCATTTTACAGGATAGTGTCACGCTTTGGTGGCCAAATGGTTATGGTGAGCAAAAACTATATCCACTACATTTCTCATTAAAAACTTGGCTTAACCGAACCGGATCGAGCTTGCGAGCACGTACTTCATCCACTAAGAATATACGCGTAGGCTTCCGCACCATTGAGTTGGTAGAAGATGCGGCGAGAGAAGGTAAAGCAAATTTTTTAATATTGTAAATGCAATACACAGTTCGAATCTAATTATATCGAAATCAGGCACTGGAAACTACTTTTTGTTCAAAGTGAATGGCGTCGAGATCTTCATGAAAGGCACCAATTACATACCCATGCATGTACTGCCAGAGTATAGTTATGAAGAGGAGAAAAGTAAGAAAATTGTTAAATTTTTTTTTTATTCATACTCACTTTTTTAACCTCTTTTTTTTCTCCCTTAATCTGCATTTCCCTCTCTTCAGTACGCATTCTAATGGGGGCTGTGAAGGATGCTCACATGAATATGATTCGGGTTTGGGGCGGTGGCAACTATGAGAGTAACGAGTTCTATGACAAGGCGGATCAATTTGGTATACTCATCTGGCAGGATATGATGTTCGCATGCGCTATGTATCCCACGAGTGATGAGTTTTTGGCTTCGGTCCGTACTGAGGTCATACAGAATGCCAAACGAATTGCTTATCATCCGAGTATTGCGATATTTGCGACGAATAATGAAAACGAAGCGGCCTTGGTAGGTAATTGGTATGGCACAGCCGGTGATCGTGCGCGTTTCGAGGCCGAGTATCGTGAATTGTATGTTGGCACTGTCTTCCATGAATTGAAAATCATTCAGAATAGTTTTAGACCGAAACCATTGATCTCATCACCATCGAATGGGAAGGCCAGTGAAAAGGATAATTATATATCGGATAATCCACAAAATGAGAATTACGGCGATAGTAAGTTGAAGTTAGGAAATATATACATAATATTGTAATTAAATATTTGTTAATCAAATTTTTTCAACAGTACATTTCTACAGTAATTACGAGGATGCTTGGAATCCAAATATTTATCGCCGCCCACGTTTTGCTTCCGAGTACGGTTTCCAGAGCTTGCCGAAGCTAACCTCTTGGCAGTTAAGCATGGCGTCGACAGATGAACTGCTTAATTTAATACATCACCGTCAGCACCATCCTTCCAATATGACGATGATAATTGCTTTGATACGTCGTCATCTACCACTGCCACTGCCAGAGGATGACAATTATGTGGAGGCTTTGATTTACTTCAGTCAAATCTCACAGGCCATGGTTACGAAAACAGAAACGGAGCTATACCGCAGTTTGCGTGACACGGAGCACCATACAATGGGTGCTCTCTATTGGCAGCTGAACGATGTGTGGGTCGCACCCTCTTGGTCGAGCATTGATTTCTATGGCAACTATAAAGTAAGTGTAGACAAACTTAGCATTAATATTCCAGTGGAATGAAATATTTTGAATATTTTTTTTTTCATTCAGCTGCTACATTACTGGGCTAAATATTTCATGGCGCCCATACATATAGTTGCGTTGTACGACTCCGATCAGGATGCGTTGAATGTGTCATTGATTTGTGACAAGCTGGAAGTTGACTTTAGAGGACTTGAGGTCTCTATGAATATTTACAAATGGTCTGATTTATTTCCGAAAAAGCAAACTGTTTGGCCGGTCATTTTGGTAATATACAGAAATCTTACCTCACCTCACTCAAACTAATTTTGAAAATTTCTCCCTCTCTCCTCCTCGCTCTCCTTCTCGCTTGTCGAACGCAGAAACCCAATGGCGTACAATATGACAAGATAATACCGATTACAAGCATCTTCCGAGGAGGTTTTACCAAAACCAACTCCTTCGTCGAGTTCATCTTGCGTGATAATACGACGACACTCGCACGCAATTTTTACTTTCCCAGCGCGATTAAGGATGCAGAGGGCGTAGAAGATCCCAAAGTGACGGTAAGTCCATATGCCATTTCTGCGGTAATAAATTCTAAAAATTTCCTTGCTTTCTATTCCTTTGCAGTTAAGCGTCTTCTATTCATACTGCTATAAAGTGAATAATCAATTTGCGAATATTATCAGTTTGAATATTGTCATTTCAAGACCGGCTATTTTTCTCTACCTCGAGCTGCTCAACATCGATATTACACGGTATAAATTGTCGCATAACGGTTTTATGATGTTGGCGCCAACCAAGATGGTACATTTGGAATTCATTAGCGATGAGTGTAAGGATGTGAAGGAAGAAAATTTTAAAATGACAACAGTCAATCAATATATGATATAATGTGTGTGCTCTCTGAAATTTTTTTATCCTCTAAGAATATTTGTTTAATGCCAAAGAGTTTGTCGATAACAAAGAAACTCACAAATAACAATTCGATAAAAATAGATATTTTATTTTGCTAAGAGTAGTTAGCAGTGCATGTCACAGCCCATGCGGCGAGTCATGGGTTCGAGTTCGTCAGTAGATGCACGTCCAAAATTTTTGGAAAAAAAAAAAACAGTTTTGCTGAGTGTCGCCCCGCCAACCACTCTGAGAGTATTACTGACATTAAAAAAGCTCCTCATAGAAATTCATCAGTCGCTCTTCCAATGGCTGGAGTAGGCCAGGACTGAGAACTCGTTGTTCACATCGTGGGAAAGTCTTTCTATGTGTATTTTTTCAAATTTTTATATTGATGCTGCACTGATTTGATTCCACGTTCCCAGCTGTAAACATATCACGCTGCATTGGTGGCGCATATTAACACGTTGTTCCGTCCTTACTGGTTTGACAACATCTTTGTATGACATAATTATGTTGAGTTTGGATATGGCGGCCACTACCCATTAGCCAATACGTATTACTGTACTTAATTTGTAATTCCCCTTTTTTCATTTTGACATGAGCACTCCATCTAAAATGTCAACAACATACCTGGTTTATGAAGGAACGCTTCTCTAGCCTGCTGAGTGGCAGTAAAAATGCAAAAGCCGACGTTGGCGAGCTCAAATTCCCAATCGATGATGACGGAAAAGACGTTTCGATTACGACGCGGTTCGAATAGCGATTTCTTTGCCAAATATGGCCAGACGAAAGCATGCTCGACGATTGAAACCATAGAGTGGTCTGCAAAATCCATAAATTTGGGTACCTCACGGCCTGGGCCAATTACCGTGGGACTAGCCTCTTAATTTACATATATAAGGTCGTATTGAGCGTTTTGTGAAAAGGATTAAGGCCCACCGTCAATATGATTATCGGACCTTATCAGTATGGCATTCAACAAGTAGGTTTTGATACAGAAAAGTGGGTCAGAAGAATCATTATTGGGAAAATGTGTTTCAAAATCGTTAAAATCGTAATAAAGCCATCTAAAAGGGTCGTGCCTTTTAAAGTTTGTTCTCCATGAACACAATGAAAGGGGCCTAAAGTGTCTCGATGATCTTAAGATCTTAAAGGGTTGGTAAAGTTAAGCTAAAATAAAACTCCAAGCATCTTTCTACGACTGCGGAAGGTAGGCAGTTCCAAATGAAAAAAGCACTCCAGATTCTGAAAGTATTCTTTGCAGTAACCACTTGTGGAAGCAGAGGAATATGAAGATGGCCCCTCAGTTTGAAAGGATCAGGTAGAGGGCGACTTCGATTCACCTGCTGCTTCCAACTGTCGCAAACCGCGAAGCAAAGGAACAAAGGACGTACCAGTGTTGATGCGGAAAAAATCGCATTAGCGGTACCCACGCTAAAAAAGAAGCAGCAGATAATTATCTCACAAGAGTAATACTGATAATTCACTTTAGAAGTGAACAGAAAACTTCGAAGCGTGGTCACAAATCGGTTTCATGGTAAAATATTATACTTTTTTGCGAATTTCAGGAGAGTGCAATCAAATTTTGGTCCTTAAAACATTGACGGGTGTCGTCATTAAAAGACACGTCTCTCATATGAGGCTTTAATGACTTTCTCATTGGAATAGCTTTTCATACGGTGGGTTTCCACAGCCACAGGAGGAGAATTCAGCTTCTCACTTTAGCTCGCCGCCAAACGTATACTTGTTGGATACCCAGGGGATACTTGCCCGGGAGATAATGCATATGATTCAATATGTAAAATAATCGTTTCTGACCACTCATGAGGTAAGAAATCAATTGCAGGTTATTTCTGCATGATGTTTGGTATCGAAAAGGATTTGTCTTGAGTAATTTCCTTTTTTTTTTGATATTATTAACTAAGTTTGCGAATCCAATAGGTTTACATGACACTCACGGTCATCGCCATTTGGTGGTTACTCTTTCAGGGTATTTCTAGTTACTTCCATGATTCGTTCAAAATTCAACTAAAACAACAATTCTATGCAGTAAATTCTTTCTCGATTTTATTTAATAAAACAAATACTTAGCATTAATTAAAGTACCTAAAATTAAATACATAAAACTAGCAGATTGTGCTGAAATGTTAATTTACAGCGAGAAAAGGAAATTTGAACTCTTCCTTTCAAAGAGAGAATGATGAAAATACACATGTGCTTTCGGGAGTCGCTCTTAAACTAAATACAATTATGTATAATATATTATAATATAATGAAGGAAAAGTTAAATTAAATAAAAAATATTTTTATATAATATGATTAAAATACGTATATATGTACTCTGTGAGCAAAAAGTCAGGTGAACTTTTCATTTCAGCTTCGCTTATATTTCGGGTTAATTCTTTTTTTTTAATGTTGGTAGCACTGTTATTGATATATAAGTCAAATTTCATGTCAATGTCATCGTGGGTATTTTAGTTACGCTCGTGTTTACTAAACGACTCGAAGGCACTTTGAGGATGAGGTGGTTTTTGCTTGACGATGATGCACACAGCACTCATTCTTCGTGACCATTTCGCTAAAAATTCCACGAATATCGTTCCCTAACCACCGTTTTCGCCGAACTTGATACCATGTGACTTCTGGTTCTTCCAAAAACTCAAGAGACCACTTCGAGGACACCATTTTGAGTCGATTGAGGAGATTAAACGTGAATCGGCGCGCTCTCTGCAGGCCATACCAGAACGTGACTATTTGACATGCTGCGATAATTGGAAAAGCGTTAACAGAAGTGCCTTGCATCGGCAGGGGACTACTTTCCTTGAAGGCGACGAAATCGACGTAGAAGAATAAATGAAGATTTTTAATTTTACACACAAATTCACCTCACTTTTTGCTCACAGAGTATATAGTTTTCAATTATAATTTAAAGATAAATAAATTACAAAAAGTTCGTTGCGAAATTATTTTCATAAGCAGCAGCTCTCCTACAAAATGTGTGGTAACGGTATTCAAAACTTTTGCTTTTCAAATATAAGATTTTCGTTTTTAACTGGAATAATGAGAAATTTTTCTGAAATTTTTGGCAGTTCGCGTGTAAATATGTACACTTCTTTTGTATTTATATGTATATTATATTATGTCATTGTCACGGGCGCATTCATCTATCAAAGTGCTGCATCTGCACCTTCGGCGGCGTATAACCCTCGGGGTATGGTACGAGCTTGTTGTTCAACACACGCGCATTGCGCCATGTCCGTACCTTGTCCTCGGGCGCATCCGGCACACGTACGCCCTCAATTACCGTCACCGCCGGACCGTCAACGATGGCCGAGGCTGGCGATGAAGCCGCAGCATATTGGTTTTGCGGTGTGTCCCTCAGTTTTGGCACTTTTGGCGGTTTAGACGCGGCTGTGTTGTAGTTATTATTGTTAACGTATGTATTCGTATTGTAACCGTTGTAACCGTTTGCATTATTGTTGTTAGTGTATTTGCTATAGCCAGCATTGTTGTTGGCATAGTCATTATTTTTACTATTCGCTGGCATAACGGCAGTGGACGAAGTCAAAACGACCGCAGCAGGTATGTGGGTGATCTTCCTCTTGTTCGCGGCCAAATAGTCATCTTTTGTAATGATATTTTTGGGTGGAGTGGAACGTCGTCCAGTGCCTGCTGCATTACCAGCTGCGCTTGTATAATATTCGGCTACCGTGCGTAAAGCCGCATTGAAAATGGGACGAAAGCTGAAGCCGTTACCGAGCGGATATGTGTCGGGCGTGTTGTATAGGATGGGTGCTTGCCGTAGATTACGTGTGCGTGTGCGCGTATTTTGGGTCTCGAATGGCTGCCACGAGCGATCGATGGGCTGACTGTGGAAGCCATCCAGCTCGGCGGGAAATGAAAAGCTGTTGTTTTTGGTATTTTTATTGGCAGCATAGCTGATGGGCACCTCGTGTTGGTTTTGCAACTCATCTTGTGCAAAACGGAAGCCACGCGCATATTGTGCTCTGCCACCAGCCGCAGTTTGAGTTGTGCCTTCTGCTGTTTGCTGTCGCAATGCATTTTGTATTTTCAAAACCTGACGCGCCTCAGCGTCGGCTTTACGTTGCTGATAGTCCTTACCCTGCCGCGCTAGTTCAGCTTGTTTCAACAATGCTGGTGTATGTTGGAAATTGAGGAACGCGGGCTTTGGATTTTCTGGTCGTGGTGTTGGTTGGCGTACGTCGGCGGCACGTACAAAGAAACTATTTGTCGCATCATCAAGTCGACCGCGTCGTGAGTCCTTACCCACCAAAAGCTCTACGTTATCACCTTTATTCGATTTCACATTGACCACGCGCACTTTCTCCGGATCCAAATTCCGTCCGAAACGTAACTCAGTGCGTACAACGGCCGGTTTGTAGATCGTGGCTTTGCCGGTTACTTCCGCATGAGATTGTGCTTGTGCATTCCCTGCGGTGGGTGCGAGTAGTAAGCAAAGTGCGAACGCGACTAGTGAAGTTGTGTTGTTTTGTTTTCTTGTTTTTGTTGCTTCAGTCATTGCCTGTGTTCGTGTAGTCGTCGACATTGCGGTGAGTTGATTGCTGCTCATGCGCTGGAAAATTGCGTGAAAGAGTAAATAATGTTAATAAATTAGCGTGAATTTTATTTAATTCGTTTGTTTTGTAATATCAAATCTGCAGAAACTTTGCTCGCATTTATGGTGTTTAATTGTGGGCAGTTCCGCTTGGAAATAACAAATCGTAATGCAACAGAAAAAATTAATAATAAGGCGGTGATAATATGAGATGCACAAAGTAAAACAAGAAAGCTTTCCATGAAGTCGGTCGCATATATATGCTGTATCTTTACAATCTGTCCGTGTCCCAAATTTAGTTGAAAGATCCCAAAAACCAAGGGACCAGTTTACCTACAAACATACCGACAGCCTTAGCTGTCATACTGTCGTCATACTGACCCGATCGGTACAAATTTTGATGAGTCTATCTCTTTGGGCGATGTAAAAACTCTGTGTACAAACGTATGTATATACGACCTTGCCAGGAAGGGCACTTCCCTTTCACTTTTTCCATAATGGGAGAGTTTGGGCATGTCGCTCTCCAATTGTAAGCTTAATATAAGAGAGTTACTCGTTTGATGCAAATTTAAGATGGGAAAGTCTCAATTCATGTAATGTGGCAAAGACATCAAGGGCAGAATGGAGCTGAAGATGGTCATATGACCTCATCGAGTTAAGAGGTAAAGGAGATATCTACAATTTAAGGTCTTTTTAAAAGCCATATTTTATTGAGCAGGCATGCATAGTGTTTGGGCGTACCATCTAATGTTTTCAGCAGAAGTTGCAGAGAAGAAAAAGAACCTGAAGCCTTAAGGCATATTCTCTGATGCGGCGACTGCTCAGCTTTGCAAATTCCACTCACTGTTAGGTCCGCATGGTGTCTAGTTGAGCTGATGCCCGGCAACTACTTTATACTAAATTTTAGGACATGTTTAAACGGAAGAGGCCAGAACATTTTTTTTTATATAACAACAACATGTGACACCGGATGGAATATGAATCCATCAGTTCACTCAAAAACCAAAATGATCATCATCGAAGTGACACCAACTGGCGAGCCTTGTCCAAGCCACTCGTAGGCACAGCAATGAGCTGGATAGGTTATCACACCATCAGTATTTTATAATGCACGTTGTGTATTACTCATGTACTATACCGAGAAGGGAAAAGCAACAATGAATATTATTTAGTGTTGTTAGAGTATTTAAAGGCCGAAAAGGCATATAAATGACCTAAGTATAATTATACTCGTGACGGCCTGCATATTACCGATGCTATGAAATATTTCTAAAGAAAAACATTTGATAGCTTTCATTTAAAAATAAAATAAAAATTCTACTACAAGTGCTGGTCTAAAATACCCACAGCTTATTTTGTGTCTTCTATGCCATCTAGTGCCATCATTATTTTTAACATATCCTGCCTTTAAACATGACCTGTGAAGTCTCACATGTCGTTAACGCGCTTCATATCTATCAGTCCTTCCCTGTTCCGAAGAACATTTTGGATACGAAATCACCCCTAAATTTACCGTCTCGCTATCTCCAGAAGCTCAATTTGGCCGAGTGCCTCGGACTGCGTAACTCTGCGGTATACATCCCCTATTAGTGTGGCCTTACAGTAATATATACGTATGTATACTGAATATCTTTCCTTGATTATTGAGTTATGCTTCGCCTTAATATTCTGGCGGAGAACATAAATTAACAACGACGGGGAAAGTGCAGTCAAGAACAAAGGAGAAGTGGTGCCTTCGGTGCGGAAGTATTGATACTTTTAATGGCCAAATTAAATTGATGGTATTTCATTTTAAGATTCAAGGGCACATATGTTTTTTTCATATTTCGGTAGATTACACCTTTAAAAATAACATATTAAAATTTCAAATCGTTATCCCAAATAGTTTTTGAGTTATAGCAATTTAAGGAACAGCCGCTCGGCAGCTGGGGAGTCTCGTTAGCTACGAGACGCACCTTCATCTTATTATCTTTAAACGCGTTTTTCTCGAAGCAGCACTTTCCGAATTTGCTGCAGTGATTACTCAAAAACAAATGATCCGATCACTATCGAGATTTTTTACATGTTCTATATATAGTTCTCCGTACAATGACCTATCGATTTTTGATCTGTGATCGAAAGTTTTGGGTAAAGTTCGACTATTTTTTTAAAACACCGCCATATTGTCAATTTATGATTTTTTTTATCGTAGGCCATCGTACTGACAGTATTATCTAGTAGAGAATTTTTTTTTAGATTTCATCCACGTAGAAAGCCGGAATCACTGCAGCAGTGAAGGACCTTTGTTTTGCGCCGTAGGAGATCGACTATAACTTAAAAAATGTTTCATTTTTTTCTTCAAAAAATTCACTGTATATTCTTGAAACATGTATAAATATATTCTAAAAATTTTGAAATAAGTTTTAAAGTATTTTTTTTAATGAAAATTCCCAAAAATCACCTTCTCACACTAGGTGTGCCCCTAATATTAAATCTCATATCGGAAAAACTAGTTGGAGGTGGCACTATGAGGAAGTTTTCCGATTTTGATGACTTTCAGCTAATTTGCATGTACGTTTATAGAATACTAAATTTCTCACTCTCGGATGATCTTTCGGCGTATTAATGTTACAAAAATCGGTTGTACGTGACATGATTCCATGATTTCATTTATTTTTGGTCACATTGTATATTTGTAGGTACGAGTGTCATGCTCTTAGAAGTTTCTTGAAAAATTTATGAACCAAAATTTAAAATATGGAAAAATATCCACACAATAGCAGTCCGGTCAAAACAGTTCCGATGAATTGTCTGTGTACCAACAAATTTGGTTGAAATATCTCGAAAACTGTGGGAATAGGTTGCGTACAAAATGACGGAATGATGAACATGGCTAAATCTACTCGTCAGTTTGTCCCGGTTCTTATACATTTTGGTGAGTCCATCTCTTCTCCTTCTGTTATTTGCATATTTTGGACAAAAGTTAATATACCATTTCATGTACGTGAGAGCTATAATAAATGTGTCTTCAACCACTTATTTTTTTTGTATAAGTAATTAGACTGGCCACTGAAGTCGAGTAGTAACCGCAGTGGAAGAGCGGTTAAAATTGCGTACTAACATTCGTATGGTCTGGGGTCGAGTACTGGTCCGACCAATACCCCAAAATATTGAAAAATTATTTCTCTTTTGCGGTCCTTCCTCGGTAGGGGATGTCAAGCTCTTCGAGTGCATTTCAGACATGAAACAAAATCACATTCTAAAAATTTATAAATAAATCGGAGAAGGCTTAAAATAAACTGTAGGTCCCTCTATTCGTAGAAAATACATCACGACGCATACTACAAACTGGGGAAGAGTTCGGTCAGAAATCGCTGCAGCGGCTATAAAGCCCCAATTATGTGTAAAAAATGGAACACAACAAAAAGTTACGATTACTTACACAAACACTATGTATGTATGTATTTATGTGTGTTGTAAATAATAACGCTTACATACACATACACATATATGAAAACATTTATAATTGAGGGTAGTAGACACGAAACTGACGGATTAAACATTTGGCCAACTTAAAAGGCGGATACTTTGGGCGCTAAATATTTTCGATTTTCTTTGACCGATTTTCACACATATATAGCAAATAATAGCAAAGATACAACAACCATCAATAAAAAATTGTAGAGGCGTTCAAAGAAGAAAACTAACAAAGAAGAAAAAAATGTAATCAAAAATAGAAAAAAAGTAAATAGTTGAAGTTTGTTTTTGTAATTATTATTGTTGCAGTTTATCTATCATTTTTGCATTAACCAAGTGTTGCAACTGCTTATTATTTTTTATTTATTTTCTTTTTTTTTGTAGTTTTCATGCCGCTGCGCGTTAATTTCGTTAGCTGCATTGATCATGAAAGCGAATCGACAATTGAGGCAGCTCGACCGGTGATGCGCAAAAGATTAAGAAATAAAAGTTTACGAAAAAAAAGTAGATAAAAAACTGCGCAGAAAGACAATTAAGCTATGAGATATTGTTTTTTTTTTTGGTGCGCATGGCATGCGGTTGCTGTTCACCGTTTGATGGCAGTACGTTGGCAGCTATTAATGTTTAGCGCGTGGCACTTGTACGGTTGTAATTTGCAATATTAATGTTTAATATTCAACGCTTGAGTGCCGTTATAAACGCCGCAAGCCGCAGATGGGCGCTATTCGATTTCATTTATTTTATATTTTCTTAATTCATTAATTAAAGTTGATTTTCTTTCAGTCAAAAAAGACTCTTCACAGTTTACACCGTTAGCCATAACATTTTCTTTTCCGCAAAATCACTTACTATTATTTATTAAAATTTCCTTTCACAACTAAATTTGCCACTAATTAATTATTTGAAAAAAAAAAACAGAACATAATTTTCAACTTAACATAAATCATTCACGTAAATGATGCACAATGCTGAAAGTCGTCTTCGCGAAAAAATATGAAAAAGTAAATAAAATAAATCAACCGCTTTTGCAGTTCAGTTTAGCCTGGGATCACGATATTTTGAACTCGAACTTACGCACGCGCAAAAATCATATTTGCTCTTCAGCAACTCACTCAACACGCTCTCACTGTATGCATTCGCTTTAATTTCAACAAGAGATAGAAAATGAAAGTGCCCAATAGGAAATCAATAGTTTAATTATTAATTTCATATAAGACTTAAGAGAATGAAGAGGAGAGAAAGAGAGTGGATTTGAGTGATTATGCAAATGCAAGTGATTTGTGCCTAGCACTTTGGAAAATAATTTATTAGCTCTTCGGAGAATACATTGCTCTCTCGAATAGAAAATTCTTTAAGAAAATAGCTGGAATATTTCTGATGGGTTTTTGTTTTTGGAGTAAGTTTGATTTCCCGAAACTTATTTTCCATTTGAGAGAAGAAAAAATTAATATACATATTTAGGTAAACGGAGGATTCCTCTTAATAGTTTTCAGCAGATAAAACCCACATCGTAAGATATATGGTACCACAGCAGATAAACAACGTTATAAGAATATTTCAGC